ATTCATTGTTTTCTTAAAGATGGAATGTTCAATGCGAATAATTGGCGCAAGTTACGAAGGTTGCGTTACGACAATCATCTTATGGACTGAGAAACGATTCATGGTAGAGATAGGTTTGCATATAACAAGAATTGATGCGGTAAATGTACAAAGGTATGGTTGATATTCATCAGCTAATGATTTTACATGTTCTTGGGTAGGGTAACCAAGTCTACTGCAAATATCCAGACTAATATATGAGGAGTGGAATAAGGTTCTGAAAAAAGAGGAATAAAGAAGACGGGACGAGGAGCGGAACAGAAAATACGTTTATAGATAAAACAAAGGTATGTTTACTCAGACTTTTTTAATATCATTACTGTACACCTGCACTTATGTAGGTTAATGAAGACAAATTATTGGTGAGATAACTATTGGGAAGTTAGTCGAAAGAACAGAGGAAATTCAGAAGCACCAAGTTGTTAGTAATAATGTTGATTTACAAAATATAATAAAGAGGCTCAGTGATATAATTTTTTGTTTTATATATTCTTTTTATTTTTAATTCTGCTATGACATGATGGACTTTTTCTCTTGACATTTTTGGTATTTTATTTGATTCCAATTTGAGATTTTATCATTGTATATTGTTATTCTTTCTATATTTGTACTTATATTGAAGTTTTTGTGTTTGCTTCTGAACTGTACATATATTGTTTAAATCTGATAAAATATGGCTACCGCCACATTTTCGGACGGACGCAGTGGCTGCTGTACTTAGCTTCACTTATCGGCTATTGTGTTGGATACTCTGCGGAGTAATTTAACCCTGGAAGAAACACAAATTCCGTAAGGCTTTGTATTTCCATTTTATAATAATACAGAGACGTTTTCTCCTAGAATTTTGCCCTTTTTGATTTGGTTGGGACCCGGAACTAGGAAAGGCGTACAGGAGTGTTTCTATTGGAAACAATTGGGACAGCCACTGTCGAAATAAAATCTACAATCATAACTGTAAAACTTTCATTTCCGAAGAAAACTTATCCGACTAGAGACGACAAAAATGATTCATACAAGCACTAAACAATAACACTGGATGAAAGAAGCCAAAAACTTTAAACTTAGAAGATAGAAGTTAATAGAATTCTATGTATTTTCTGTCAATGATAATTAAAATTTCCTGATTTAGTGGGAGGACCGGTAACTTTAGGGATTAAGACTTTGGATCGCACAGAGTCAACTACGACTCCGTATATCAAAACATAAAAATGAAATTTCTCTACCCCAGGTCACAACGCACAAAAAATTCGGAGCAAATTCTGGTGAAACATGTGCGGCTGGAGTAGGAATAACATAGGCATTCGGATCTTTGGATAGACACTTGCTAATGCCCAAAATGAAACCAGACTACAGAATCGAATTCCACCCGATGCTCTACTCATTTATCTTTGAATCCATTAGTGCGAACAAACACTTAAACGCGCTGATGGGCATTAGACATGTTTTAGACTTGCTCAACAGGGCATCCAAGGTCAGCTGGGAGTGGACTAGTCTGCATCCCCCTTTATGTATCGCAAAATGTTTATATCATCAACATAAAGTAGAGTGGGTGACTTGGATACTCTTCAGTGTTCATTTGCATGTGATATAAAAAGTAAACGACCTTAAAACAGATCCTTACGGCATATCACTGTGTACCGGCTTCCTGGAAGACTGTTTGGAATTTACTCTTTGACAGTGCAGAATTGTGCAAATTTACGGTAAATGATTGTCATACGATACATTCTTCTCCAGCGGACATCTTTCAAGTATGTAGGGCGGTAAAAATGAAGCTTATAGTTGAAATCACAACAGTACTTACGAAAGTCGTCCGGTTGGTCCAGAATCTGGTGATCGCCGGAAAATACTTCCGAGTGCATCAGTATGCATAGTGGTCACTCGGGTACACAGATTAATACATGTTTGTTTTAAGTTGTATGTTATGACTTTGAATATTTCATGGAATCAGTCAAAACCTTGCAACCTCGTCAACGATAAGGAACAAAACTGAACTTTAATCATCTATAGCAAATGGCAACTGAAAAAGCCGTACGGTAAAATTGATTACGTCAGTCGAGGCACCAACGGAAAAGACGCATAGCTTGGATTACAACCTATACCAACATACGGCTACCGGTAGCTGAAAGCACTTTACCACTATACAAACAGGGTACTCGTTCACGTTACTACATTTACAACACAGCTAAAAATAAAATTTTGTAAAAACTGGTATTTTGTCCATATCTTTATTAACTGAGGACTGAAGTCATCAATCAGAGCAGAACTCAGAACAGCAGGAACCCATAATTTATACTTACTTTTGAAACATAATTGACAGTAAATCGACTAATCGGGCAGTCAAAGACTTCGATTGTATCACTTTGATAACTGCCTTGCCTTCATTTTAGAATCTTTGAATGTTGTTTTAACATGCATTATTTTTATCGTTGAAACGCAATTTATAAAAGAAATTAGAAACTTAGTTTCAGAGGATACTCTTAACCGTTATGATCCATTATGGAGCAGTTGGAGCATACGAAGATGGCTCATTGAAATACTAAAACTAGTCGTTTATTGGAAAATTTGCATCTTTTTGATAATTCACATAACTGTCACTTGAGAATCCTGGACAAACAAAACGTTAAGGAACCGGATATCTTACCTACATGTTGAGTAGTCGTTCAAAATAATCTGCTATTTTCTGTTCACCAATCATCGGGAATCTGCATTAAACCGTTTGAAAATTTGACGCAAATAATGGTGCACTTTTTGTTTCGCTTGCGAATATCTACGAAGGTACACGAAACTCAGATTCACAAGTTTAACTACAATATATAATCATTTATTTGGAGCTCTAACGTTTTATTGACAACCCGTCTTGCTAGAGGCCTTCGTTTAACCTCGACGGTATATTTCAGCACAATAAATTTATATTTCCTTATTATGTCCTCATTACCGCTACTCTCCACGTTCATATAGTGTTTGTGTAGTCTACAAATCTATACAATTACGAGTCATTATTATTTATCAAGCCTGGTAAACTCTGGAATGTAAAACCTTTAGGCTACCAAGCAACACGTACTCCTAACCAAGTTTTCTTATGGCAATGAAGAACAAACAAGCCAGGAATTGCCAGCTAATCCAATCAGATGAATATTGTTAGCGTTACCTAATTCACACAGCTCATCCGTATATAATCTGACCTCATGTAACACATCACTTTTTGAAAATAATTACATTTTTATTACAAGAAGTTGACATATTTAAGTCGAGACACATGAGAGTTTTAGTGAGTCTGTTTCCCTATTACCAAAGCATCTTGTCGTGTTCTTACAGCACGCCAAAAGGTCAGAACGGTATTTTAGGTTCGTGATTATGAAGGAATCGTCACAAACGGTGACCCGATTGCCAGGTTTCTGGTTGCGTTGAGACTAGAGTCCATTTTGTTTATTTGATGGATTTCGATCCATATTCTCGTGCTTTTTAACGACTGGTTTGACAACCATAGAAGCCTATTGTACTTCAGGTTCATTAACTGGTTACGATTCAAGATCAGGGATCTCAAGCATGTTTGATAGGAAACCTTGATTCTGTTTGGCCATACTATTACAACCAATCTTAAGCTGGATTTTACCCTTCCAGTCCAGAGGATCCGCCAGAGGATCGAAATTCGAAATGGCTGTCGACATAATTAAGTATCAACTTAAACAACATAATACAGTTCAGGAAGAAACATAGAAACCCAGAAAAGGTACAAAAATTAGAAACTATAACAAAATACAAATATTAATATCCCAAAATGGGATTAAACAGACCACCAAAATGTAGAACAGAAAGAGTCAGTAAGAACATATTACAAATGTATGCATGGAGAGATTTTCCCAAACAAAGCCTTCAAAAAAGGATTCTACACATACTGACAGGACTTCATTCCCCAGCAGTAGGATTTTTGTGTGACAAAGATTCACTGAGTTTAACGCCATCGATGCTTAGACGATGTTGAGTTTCGTCACTCCTAATCAGGAGTTGGCACTTCTTTCATCCATACTGACATTACTGAAAACCACTTTCTCTCTCTGTCCGCCTTTATTTGCCTGTCCGCTAGTGGAGTGCTTTTTTGAAGGTAAAAGATATTTTTTACAGTGAACATATCAGAAGATTGATAATGTCACTCAGAACTCATAATGCATGAAGTGCATATCCACCTGAAAAACTGAGTCTTTTGTAAGAGAATGCTGTAAGGTCTGAACACGTTTTCTTGAAACGTCTGAAGAGATCAGGGATATTCAGAGTTGGACAACGCTTTTTCCGTTAGATCTTTTAGATCAAGAATACCTAGAACCAAGTCAAACCAAAAGTCAGTAATGGGGAGGATCAGAGATGTATTTGGATGAAATTTAGGATTCCAAGTAGTAAATGGTCTAGGCCCGCTAGTTGATGACAGAGGATGCGTTGCTCGGCATTCTTCACGATGATCCGGTGTAGACTCGTGACCCAGCACTTTCGCCTAGTGTGTTTTCAATAAAATTAGTAAGGTTTGCATTAATTTCGACGATCTCGGACATTTATTTACCGCTTTATTTATCTCCCGCTCCTTCATTTATCACACATCATTCCTGAGGCGATGGTAAAATCATAGCCAGGTAGCTAGCACGTGCGCTGAGTAATCAAGGTGAAATAAAGTTATCAACTAAATTGGAATGCAAGTTAATTACCGTTGGAAAAACACTTAAATCTTCAAAGGGGATAAAAGCATGTTGTAAAAACAGTTAAAATGTGCTAAGGCTGATTCTACCGGACAAAAATGTTGCGTAAAAGCTTGAAACATGCAAGTTGTAAAATTCCTGGAATTTTTTTATTACGACTCCTGATGTCAGAATCCGTTTGTATATCCAAAACAGTAATTGTTACTCTTAGTATTGGACACCGTGAACATTCATTTGTGACACCTGACCTTTTTCATTTCTAACTCTGTGAAGTTGGAAAGTTTGGGTCCTACCGCGGTGTTTTGAAATGTATTCGTTACAACGTTGTTAGGATGGTTTCTTACTTAATAAATTATGATATCGACGATATCCATACAATGCATGGTTATTTGTTACGTATTTACTTGTGTGTTGGTAGCTATGCAGATATATTTTCTGCTTTATGTACATATTTCCGAAAGTCCCACTTTATCTGTAAGTCACGCTTGTACATTTAGAACATTTGTCTTTAAGATTGTCGAAACACCAGTTCGTTACAATGAGACTTTTAAACAGTCTGAATTAGTAAATTGTCTGCGTAATAATGAATTTGTTTGGAGTGCTTACAACCGTACACGTTCTGATAGGTGCAAGCAAGTATTCGTTGGTGTAGGTTGTTCTCCTGTCACGTACAAAAGCTTTTCTAGTAGCTTTTGTCATGTTCAAGGTAAATATTTTCATTGTGGTTTCTATGTTTTTGCGTGACCAAATTATTAACTGCCTTTATGTTTCTTGACACCGATGCTAAATTCTAAGATATTTTCATTGTCTGTAACAATTCAAAATGCTCTTCTTATGCTTAAGATTCTTTCAATTAATTATTAACAAACCTAATTTCATCGGATTGATTGTTGGCTATTTTCGCTGACCTCGTCCACTTTTACCAACATAAAATGCATCAAGTTTAGTTTTCCTTTGTAGGGTATTAAAACCTAATATCATTGGCCGTCCAACATTTTGACAGTCGACTATACACTAGGGTTACTCTGGTACCTAGTATGTATAAGCAAGTATAGTACACTTACGATATTGATTTCTAATAGTAAACTACGTGGGACGACTTTTTCTTCAATGCCACATGTAATTTTTTTTCTGCCTTCTCAATGCATGTCAACATAGAGTTCTTAAAATTTAGTTTTGTTTAGTAACAATTTTTTCCTAAAATTCAGGTAACCTTGGTGAGCAGCCATCCTTCCTAGGCTGTTTCCTCATCGATCACCGTGAACTTATCTCCGTCAAGTCAAGTGAATATAAGGATGAAAAGGATTGTCTGAGTATATGTCGTTCGCTAGGTGTGACGTATTCATGGTTAGGTCCTAGCCATACATGCTGGTGTATGATGCGGTTACCAAACGGATCACGGAACATCCCTCTTTCTCAATGCAGCATCACTTGTACTCTTGAAGAACACGAAATCGCTTCAACTGATAGTTCATTTTGTCCTGACCCAGTCCCAGTCCGAGTCTATGCGACTAAAGCGAGTCCCCCTTGGCATCCTATTCCTCGTAAGTTCAGTTAATTCGTTATTTCCTGGTATAGATTATTGGTATGGACTTGATAAATAATTTGCTATGAGAAAGGTATTATTTCCTGCTCAAGCTATCAGCCTTATTTTTGCGTTATTTGGTCATCCAATTTAAGCAATGAACAGTAGAATGAATCAACAAATATTTATTAACGTTGCGTTTAAAGAAGAGAAGTGTAAAAATAGTGATACTCGAAGAGAAGCCAACAAATTATTCTAGTTTCCTTCCGAACACAGACAAACTTATTTCTTAGTTTCAAAATGATTGTATGGATTCTACCGAATATACCAATATTCATTATTACTTGACATTCAAACCTTTCATTATATATTCGAATCCCACTCTACCTACTTTATTTTGTAGGTTGTGATAGCTTCACTAGCCCACGAGAAACTGATGGCTAAAGAGTTTGTGTACATAACCTTGGTTATTGGGTTTCATTAAGTTAATCTAAGTTTGCTCAACTTACAAAACAATATAAAACATGTCTTAGTAATATTTGAGTCGAAATCGGTCTCGTGATCCATAACTTCCTCTGTTCTATAGAGACAAGAACCAATGTCTGTGTAGTATTTTAGTTTGGTTATAAAATATCAAACCTCAAGCTAACACTGGTTCCGGTTTTTTAAATGTAGAAGAAATCATGAGGTATGAAGTCCATTCGGACTTAGATGTTGCTGTGGTAGGTTTTATGGCGTCCTGTAAGTTGAAACTAAGGTTAAAACGTCCTAATTCCAGAAACTGTCCCAGGTCCAAAACTCACTTGACATATTTCAGTTAGGAAGATATCTCATTATCATTAACCCTCAAACTAATGTATTATATTACTGTTGAACTATGTTGCGTCAATCAATACAAATAGCTGTCATCTGAAGCATGTCGCGACTTCGTAATTGATGCATCCTTATCTTTTCTCATAACATTCGCTTGGTTGTGCTTTATTTACGATTAACATCCTGTTCACACGTTAAGTTTTACTGCTTGTATATTGACTCTGACAGTTTCATTAAAGTACCGTATCCTATTTAAATGGCTTTAGTTGTATTTTCTATTATACCATAGTTTCTAATATATTTAAACGAGCAGATTTGTTTCGGTTGATCTAAAAAATTTTTATGGCTGCTGATTAGTGATATATGTTATCCCAGTTACTGAATTTGCTTAAATCTTTACTTCACACACATTTTGGTTATACGTTTAGATATGAGGTCATTGTTTAACAGCCAACTAAGCTGTCTGCTAAAAACGTACATGTAAACGAAATTTTGCTCTCCTAGTTCGTTGAGTTGCACCATTTACTGTGAAGGATTTGCAATATTAATATTTATTCTTGTACTTCACCATTGCAATGTAATTCAAATTTTTGCGATTGCTATCTAGTATTGTAGTACATGTTTAACATCTTTATTTTCAGTTTCTCTTAAGTCTGGCCTTATCGATCTGCTGTTGTCGAGACCAGTAAGGATAGTCTATCTTCTTGTCTGGAATGGAAGGAGTTGGACACATATCCGTCGAATGTTCGAACTAATATACAGCACTCGACATTATTATTACATTCATGTGGATGCGGTTAGTAATTACTGTCTCAAGGACATTTTTTCAGTTTTTATGGGTTTGTGATCTTGACATTTGCTCAGCCTGTCACTAATTCTCTTAAGAATAAGTCATGCAGTCTTTCTTTTTTAATTTTATTCTACTCCATTATCTTTTTCATTTTATTCATCTACCATTTGATCCGCCTTGACAAACACAAATATTTCGTTTTTAGTTTCTCTGAGTCAGTGGGAGAATAAGATAGTTATTCAAAACTCATATTTGCTACTACAGATCTTAAAGAAACCCAATAATTTGACATAGCATTCCTAATCATGGATTAGTTGGTTAAGTCGCAATTTATTCTTGGCTAGTACATATTTACAGGCATCTATTAATTTGCACAAATATTGTTAGTTTTAAACCCTACACACTAATAAACGGTACTCTATTCATATTACATTGAAAAATATGTTCCAATAAATGGATGTTTTTACTGTTCACACGACAGATAAATTTACTTGACTACACAATTGTATTTCACTATTATATGTCGAAAGGTTTAGACAAAAACTCACAAAACTGCAACAGCGAATTTTAAAAATAAGCCATCGGTCCATTGATTAACTCGTTTAAATTAGTGGGAAGATGTAAATAATGATGCAGTTGAAATTAAAATTTCGATTTCACTCGATCAGTTCTCATACATCTGGACAAAGTAATATCCATAATGTTATTAGAACAAGATGAGTTCATCCTATTTCAATTACAAATACGAATATCATCAGAGGCGGCGAACTGACATATGGTTAATTGATCTGTTATTGATGTTCTAAACGGGATGGGAAATCTTAGTCAGTCAGTTACAACGTATAACTTCATACGTACGTACGTCAGTTTAAATTGCCCTGCCACATAGCACACCAAATTGTCAATTCAAATCTAATAGCAGTAGAGGTAGTAGGAATATCAGCAGTAATCGGAGAGATTAAGGTTTGAAGATAGTATCCAAGACGTATAATCTAGGTAAATAAACTTAAAAAGAGAAAGATAAAGGTGATGAGGAACTTTGAAGGTTAGCATTTGAGAGAATACCACGACTGGGTGCACATGCACAATTGCAAACGATTTTGAACCATGTCGTTCAAGATCTCTTACCATCGATTACTATCATCTCGCGGAGCCCACCAGTTAGTCGACATTTACGAATATGACTGAATCCAGTTGTCAGTGACTTCGTGGATTTGTGCCATCTTTTGGTTTGGCCACCGCTAGCTTTCTTCCAACCTACTCCTACACCACAAAATATCGCTCGTCGAAGCAGGCGGTGGTTAGGCATACGTAACACGTGTCCCAACCACCTCAACTGATGGAGTTTTACTGCTTCATCAATTGATCTGTCTTCCTTACCTAGTACTCGATTCCTAACGACAGCATTGCTTACTCGATAGTACCAAGATGAATGAGCAATGCTTCGTCGACACCGAAGATCTTTGGTTAGCAGACTGATATCTCTCCTACGCCATAAGTGACGCTGGTTGGCAAAAGCCAATCGGGCCTTCTGTATCTGTGCTGAGATTTCGTCAGTCACCAGGCCATCAGCACTGATGAGACTCCCGAGATAAATGAAGTGTTCGATGCGCTCAACTGCTTCATTCACTATCACTAGTTCAGGTGCCGATACAAGCCAATCGTGAAGCAGCATTTTGAATTTCGAGGCTGAAAACCGCATCCCGAACGTGCTTGCATTTTTGTTTAGGGTAGTCGGAAGACTGTAAATTTTGTCAGCGTCTTCACCAAGTAGAACTGTCTTCGGCATATTCTGAGTCATCAAGAGAGTCCACCCCTGAAAAGTCTGACGAGGATAATATAAAGTCGAAGTATGTCTATGCCTAAGTTAAACAAGAATGGAGAAAGTGGACAGCCGTGACGGACACCACTTGAAGAAGTGAATTGCGAAGACAGTTTGCCATAAACTCTGACTCGACCAGTAATGTTTGAGTAGAGAGCTTGTATAAGGTACACCCTTTATTGACAGTCACTGATACAGAACCTCCGGATCGATACGATCAAATGCCGCCTTAAGGTCCAGGAAGACAACTTTTGTCGGACGACTAAATGTGTGTCCGTGGTCGAGGATCTGTCGATGTGGGATTGTCTAGTCTATACATCCACGTCCAGGTCTGAAACCAGCCTGGTTTCCTCTAGTCTGCTCTTCACGAGCTCTAGTTAGACGTCTAAGTATTATCGCGGCTAACATTTTAGACACTGATTCCTCGATTGTCACAAGAAGACGTTTGTTTTTCTTGTAAACTTGGACAATCAGTGATTGAGACGAATCAGATGTGATTATGCACAGTTCCCAGATTCTACCAAAGATCTCAATCAATCTAACTGCTAAAACTGGACTACCATCCTAAAAAATCTCATGGGTAAGCCTGTCAGACCCTGCTGATCTCCCTCACCTTATAATGCCTATAGCCTTTTCAACTTCAATAGGAGTTGGAGGACGCACATCAATTCACCATTCAGGTTGGCCGCAGATCATGTGTAACAGAAGTGTGGTTGAAGGCCAGTTGTATTAATCTCTAAAGTATTCCGCCTATCAATCCAATCTCCTGGATTAAGAATGAATGACAAGTCAATCGGTTTCCGAGATTGTCTCCCTTACAGTCGGATTCCTAATATCAGTTTCCTTGATAAGACTGAGCAGTTATCTGCTAATACTTATCGCCGCTGTCTTTTCCATCGCTCTTGCTTTCGCTACCCACCACTTTGCGACCATTGTGTAGACTTCTTATCAAACAGTGCTCAAGCTTACTCCGCTCTTTGTCATGTTTAGTGCCAGACGGGATGAGTTTCTGAGCATCCATCTGTTTGATAGATGCTACTGAGATCCACTGCTTCTCCCTAACCTTATGGTTTACCCTACTAGCAGATATGGCTGATGTTTCCACAATTTTTCGGATATCGTTCCGAGCTGTTTGCGGTTGGGAATATCACTAACATAGTCGCTCAACTGTTTTTCTAATTGTTCCTGAAATATTTTCTTAGCCATGCCATCATTAACTAGAAACCTAAGAGGTTTACTTGCGGTATCCTTCCTACGTCCAGTACGCCTCAAACAAATACGCGCTCGCAATTTACGTTTTAGCTGACTGAATGAATATGCGTACTTAAGAAGCTATGAAATGTAGTTTCAATGAAGTAAGTTTTACAGCGTGTTTTGACTTTAACTTGACATTTCACCATACGTTTTATTCTCGATGTACTATATTCCATCTTTCCATCGCAATTATCTGTTTGAGCTGTGACAACATAAGATCCATCCAGTTTTCTGTCCTTCCCACTTTGTCTACTCACTTGAGCATTAAAACCACCAGCCATTATTACTATATTAGTGTGCCTAACGTTTTGGAGGAGGTCCGAAAGCTTTCCGTAGACCTCATCTTTGGCCTGCAGTCGATGGTAGCGTAGGCAGATGCGACGAAGAGACAACGGCGAGTTCCCAGTTTTTCGAGTCCTTACTGTCCCATTTAGTCGAACAGCACATAAGCGACTGTCGATTGGTATCCAGTCTAAGGGAGCTAGTTCTGCTCTACGAATTAATACTATACCTACATCAGTGAGATCCCCAGATACACGGAGCGTAAACCGATTTGGTTCAAATGGTTGATTTTACTCGGGTCTTGTATGTGCGTTTCGGAGACACGGCTTTATTGATTGTATGAGATTCTAGAGTCCTAGTTAAGGTACTTTTTGAGGAACTTGAAAAGGAAATCAGATTGATTTCAGTCTGAGCGTCGTGGGAGCGTGACCACAGATCCGAAGAGACAACAACCTGAGGCCGGTCACACACGCCCTCTTTATGGAGAGATTTTGTACTGTTAGCTTTGCTCTTTAAATGGCCTTACCGCCGGAGACGGAAATCCGTGAGGTAAGGTGAGGTGTGACATTTTTAGGGTTGACTTTTTCTAACCCCTCCCTTTCTTGTTAAGAGGCAGCATCGCTGCAGATGCTGGTTGTCTGTGGGAAACACCTTACTGCTGTCACACCCCTCTAATGTCAGCAGTACGACTTCGCCCTCAGACGTGGAGTAGCTGCTTTTAGTTTCACCGTTCTCCAATCCACCTGATTGGCGTGGTAGAAATTATAGGAACATATGTTCCAGCCAATAAGGCTCTGCTGGGTTACCACGATAGGCAAGCCCAACCGCTATAGCAAGGTAGCAGCTACGGTCGTGGGAAAGTCTCAGGGAAAAGGGAAATGCGTAATATGACCTCAAAAATAGTTGTCGAAATTGTGTTATATAGGATGTTCCCAATGGTTCAATGTCAAAAAAGTTTCGATTTCGAAAATCAGTATGCAGAATCTTAATCCACTGATAAATGCAATAACATTATGTGTCCGAATAATAGCTGTTCATGAAACCGTATTATTGACGCAAGTCCTCGAGTAGTTTAAAATCAAAACACAACCGCTAACCAGAACATATTTTTGAATAATAAAATAACATGCTTATGTACAGAATATAAACACGTTATAGTGTCATCGGAGAAAATTACCTATTAGATCTTTCATCCTCTAATCAAAATCAAACTATTATGTCTAATCTTTGTGCATTTTATCAAACTGACACAATTTAAAATGAGTCGTACATATTTCTCCTACTGATAAAGTGAGGTGGACTGAATATTTGTGATTAAAGAAAACGCGAAATCACATCCCAAGATCCCAAAGTTTTGATCGTTACTACTTGATGTATTGATTATTGGGGTTTTTACATCAATTTCTTCGGAGTAGTTTTCTATGTGCATGCTCTAAAATCAGTCAATAAGTCATACACAACCTATTACCTGGCACATGTGTACATCGGTTCAAAGTTGCTATGTCCCATCAGAATAGAGAAATGAAACTGTCAAAACCGACTCCAGAGTAGTAGAGCTCGTAACAGTATTAATGATAATAGAAAAAATAGCATGAAAGATGGTATTCAAGAAAGATAAATTAGTGAAATAAAATAACTTGCAAAGGGTTTAGAAACTTGGTATCTAAAGAAAGACAAAGAGTGCACTTGTACTACTGCTGACTGTTTTGAGCCATGTCACCCAAGGTCTATAACGATTGATTACGATAATAACGCGGACCTCAACCAAGCAGTCCACCTACCTGCGTGGATCAGCTCAATAGTCAATATTTTCATGAACTGATAAGATGTCCTGGTCTGGTTGCCTCTAGCTTTTTCCAAACTCACTTCTACACCAGCTATTATCGCGCGTCTAGGTAGTCAGTGAGTGAACATATTCAATGCACGTCTTCATCATCTGATCAAATAAAAATTCACCACCCCGTCAGTTCACTTACCATACGCAGCATTCTGCGTTCCGCCAATCTGATGGATCTCAACTATACGATCAGTGCTTCCAAGACACCCATGATCAAATCCCAATAACCTATGACTATCCTTCATTTTGAAGCCCTACTTTTCACAGCCATAAAGTCAAACAAAGCAGACTCTTGCATAGCAAACTCGTGTTTCATATGACAGACAGATGCCTCGCCTACCACACTAGTTACGCAAGTTGGCAAAAGCCAACCTAGCTTTCTGAATTCATGCCGAAAATTCGTCATGCACCAGCACATCAGGACAAATGAGACTTCGAAAATAAGTGAAGTGGTCGATACGATTAGCTACTTAACTCCTCATCGCTAGTCTAGGCGTCTACGCAAGCTAATCCTAAAGCAACATTTCGCATTTTGAGGGAGAAAATCGCATCCCAATCATATTTACATTATTACTTGAGGACTCGGCATTTCTTTGATTTGTTCATGATAATCTGAGTATTCTCAGTTAGCAGAAATCTCTCTTTACAGATTGATTCCTAAAAAGTTCGATTATGAGAGTGTTGTCGTTAGAATAATACATACGACAGTCAAATAAAAATTGGAAAAGCTGAAGACCCTAATAAAACTATTTGAAGTCTTCAGTCCAGATGACAGTTCACAATACGCTTCGACTTAACTAGTAGTGGTCCAGTAGAAAGCTTGTACAAGGTTAGCATACTTTTTTGTTACGCCTTTCAGTGACAGACTACCATGAAGTCTGTCGATCTACGGAATCAAACACTATCTTAAGATTAAGAGATACAACTATGATTCGAAGTTGTCAGACATGTCTGTGTTCCAGAATATGGCGAACGGTGAATATTTGGTGGAAAAATCCACTTCCAGTTTTGAACCCAACCTTTTTTTCATAAGTTAGCTGTTCACACGCACAAGTTAGGCTTGTTATTATTGAAGCTAATATTTCGAACACTTTGTTGGTCAAACTGATCCTTCCACGGTCATCATAAGAGGAGTTTTGTTTCTTCATATAACCTGAACTGATCGGTGCTTAAAACCATTCAGTTCCCAAACTCTAGGTGAGATCTCAGTCAACCATACAACTGAAACTAAACCACCAGCCCTAAAGATATCAGGGGTTTTTCCGTTGGAGCATTCTGCTCCCCTCCATTTTAGGTAAATTATGACTTTTTCCTTCACTAATAATTATGGAAATTATGTTGACATGCTATTCAGGTTCTTTGGTCTAAGTAGACAAACGACAGACAGCTGGAGAGCAGTCAGAGTTTGATTCAAAACCTTTGAAGGTAATTTCTACATCTTTTTATACCTTTTTGGGAGTTAGGCTATCTATATTTTATAAGTTCATATTAATTGTATATATCTTCCATTTAAAATGCACTTTGAATATTCATTTCACATTAATATTTATAACCATTCTTCATTTTAGCGATGTGATTATCTGTACACAAAGGTTAAGTCTTTTATTGAGAATTATCCGTCAAATATCTACTTGACATCTACTCGATTTTCACCAATATGGGGTGGGCAAAGTCTACTTGATATGTTCTTATCATCATTGAAAGATTTATCCACTAATATGAGTGATTGGGAATGGGACTTCGTGATTAATCTGAGTGAAAGCGATATGCCTATTAGGTAATATTTCATTTTTTAACTTAAATCTATTTAGGAGTTAGTATTGATGAAACTGGTAAAATTCAAATACTATCACTAATCTTTATTCACTATTATATTTTTGGATATAATAATGAAAAAAATGTAATAGTAAGATTGATGGGCAGAACGTTTTAGGGATCAGTTCAGCTGGCCTTCAACAACACTTCGGTTACCCACGATCTCCAGTCATCCTGAATGGCAAGTGGATGTAAGTCCTTCGAGTCTTTATGAAGTTGAAAAAGCCATAGCAAATATGAAGCGACGGAGAGCAGCGGATCCTCACAGACTGATCCCTGAGATTTTTAAGATGGTTGTCCAGAAACAGTTAAATAGACTGAGATCAAAGTAGAATCTGGGAACTGGGCGTAATCCCATCTTACTGGTCTCAGTCGCTAATTGTCCCAATTTACAAGAAAGGACAAAATTCCTCCTGCGACAATCACAGCGGAATCAGTCTAACAAATACAGTATCTAAAATACTTCGACGCCTAACTAGAGCTTGTGAAGAGCAGACTAGAAAAACCCAGGCTGGTTTTCGACCTGGACGCGGATGTATAGACAAAATATTCACATTACGCCAGGTCCTAGAACGAATACACGTTCAGACGCCCCACAATGGTAGTATTTCTCGACCTTAAAGCGGCTTTCGACTCTGTCGATCGCGTAGTTCTGTTGCATTGTCTGTCAATGAAAGGTGTACCAAAGAAGTACATTAACCTTATACAAGCTCTCCACTCGGACGCCACTGGTCGAGTGAGCGTGTTGACCGCGTAACTTATCTGGGGTGTCTCATCAGTGTCGATGGTCTAGTGACTGACGGAATCTCAGCACCGATACAGAAAGCTCGATTAGCTTTTGCCAACCTTCGTCACTTATTACGTTGGCGAGATATCTGCAGCAGTTTTCTCCATCCTGCCATATGGATGCGAAACACAGCCAGTAAGAAGCGAGTATATTCGTAGGTTATTAGTGTTTGATCATAAGTTTCTCAAAGGCATTGCTCGTGTATCATGGGACAACCGAGTAAGCAATGCTTTCGTTAGGAAACGAGTACTAAGTAGGGGTGGCAGATCAGTTGATGAAGCAGTAAAACTCCATCAGTTGAGGTGGCTGGGACATTTGTTACGTATGCCCAACCACCGACCGCCTCTACGAGCTATGTTTTGCGATGAAGCAATAGGTTGGAAGAAAGTTAGGGGCGGCCAGACCAAAACATGGCACAAATATATGAAGTCACTGACAAGTGAACTGAGTTATGTTGGTACATGCAGGCTACCTGGTTGGGCTCCGCGAGACGAAAGTCACCGATGGTTAGAGACCTTGAACGACATGGTTCAAAATCGTTTGCTATGGCGCAGGTGCATCCATTCTTTGTCTTCTCTCAAATCCTAATCTTCTGAATTCCGCATCACCTTTGTCTTTCTATTTCTAAATCCATTTCACTGAATTACATTTCTTGAATAATTTCTTCGAACCCTAATCTTCTCCATTACCGCTAATACTTGTACTATCTCTACCAATATTGGATTGGAATCGACAATCGCATCTCTGTGATAATATGGTATGGCAACCTGAATTGATGTACTCATAAACGAAGTTGTATGCTGTAACTGACCGACTGATATAATGGGTCTCAGCAAGTATTCTTTATTTTGATCCCAAAACAGTACTCGGTATGAAGGACGCTATGATCAGCAATTAGTTTATTATTGTTTTATTATCCTTCTTTGTGTCATAATCCCATTAAATCACACTTTATGTGGATAAATTTTAAAATTATTTTATTAACAGTAATACTGATTATTCATTACACATCTGAATAATTTACTTTTTAAAATGTTTTTTTCTTTTTATTTACACAGACCTAATCATGAACTAGTTACCTATTTGAGCCACAATCGTGATAAAATCTTCCTACGCTCATTTAGTCATACTGGGCAAAGGTAATTTATCATCTGATATGCTTGCAAATGTAGAATAATGTAATGACCGTTTCCATCTATCGTTTTAATTGTGACTTTAATTTCATTTAATCTCCATTTACCATCTCTATTCGATAGATATCTGTCGCTTCTCAAATACCGAAACGATGCCACAAGCAGTTCTTGTACGGAATATACCTTTGCCATTCTTAAATGATCATGAGAGAAAAATGTGATAATTTTAACCATAGAAATCCCTTAGAATGAAGAAGTGCTTATTAAGCGTTCATGAATTAATAGCTAAAACAACTACTTCCACTTGTTACTTCTCCTGGAACATAAGCGACCAACCTGGATTTCCCAGCCAACTCTGTTCTGGTCTCTCCTTTCCAGTTTTCACCTATTGCTTTTCATCCCTTTAATGTCCACCTCCAATTCTCGGCTCAATGTGTTCTCTGATCTTCCTCTTTTCCTTTGGCATTGAGGATTCCAAGTCAGGCCTTGCATTATGATGCAGTTTGAGGAGTTCCATAGTGCGTGTCCTATTCACCTGCAGCGTCTTTCCTTAGTTTTTCTCTTCAGTTTCAAGCGGGTCTGCCCTCTGCCACAGTAGGCTGTTACTCATGGTATCTGGCCAACCTATCTGCAGTATCTTGTGTAGACAGCTGTTTATAACTATTTGTACCCTTTTGATTATGTCTTTAGTTCTCCAAGTTCCCGCTTCATACCTTAAGAGTTTATTGACGATCGTATTGAAAATCCTGACTATGATGTCGGGTGAAAGTCGTTTCGAGTTTCAGATGTTCTTCAACTGTAGAAATACTAACCTTGCTTCGCCAATCTGCGTATTTACATCAACACCAGACTCCCCTTGTTTAAGAGTTAAAACAACCGTTGATAAAACAGCCGGTATAACTTTCCTCAACATTGTACATATCGATAGAGTTGTTTTATTTCAGCATAACGTTATTTTTGGTCTGTATCTTAGATGAGTTGCTGTTCGTTTATTTTGTCTCAGCGCTACTCATCATTATAGCGTTAGTTATTTCCCTGTTGGATGGCTTTATCAAAAGTTATAGCATTCAGCAAAGAACGATCTGCACTAACTGTGAATATTTGAAATCATTTGTTTAAACATTTTAGTGGTTCATCTTTGTTGATGAAATTAGCTTCCTCATAAAAGTAAAGTAAAATTGGTTTTACTGGGCATCCAAAGTTCGTCCTCTCGTTGTTAGGATGACCTGTTTTTGATTTGCTTGTTTTAGTTAAGCAGCTATTTGACAACAAATATCAATCTACTTTTGCATGCATTTGTTCTATTGTGGTGGCCGATTTTGTTGACGTCGGGATCACCATTTGTAGTGCACTGGCGAGCGAATGCGCGGAAGAATGAACGAAGCAGCGAATAAAACAAATGAAGCGACGTGGAGAAGGCTAATAAGCCAACTCCTTGGATTACAATGCGAAGGAAGCGAATGAATAGGCGAAGCGCATTGGAGAAAGGCTAATGAGCCAACTCCAAGTGATAGAGCGTGACTAAGAATATATAGTCAGACAAATATAAAACAGACATGCAACAATCGAAATAGGCACACATGAATAAAAGCGACGAATGATTGGCAAGGTCAAATGACAAGTGGAACACGTCATGTGGGCTCATAGAAACCAGACGATAATAAGAATGAATGGTACATATTAATTGTTGCAATACAAATGGCTTGGTTAAATAGATTAATCGAAAGGGCTTAATCAAATTAAATGCAAGCGAACTGGAATGTATGTGGAGGCACTACACTATTAAACATTGTCCGTCAACCTACAGTAAAGGAATGTCTTCCATCGTTGCTTTGTTTATTTCTTAATAATCCTATTTCTAGTAACAGTAGGATCATCGCTAGATGTTATAAACATACCGTTTAGAAGTTTCAACATGAGATTCGTGGTTGCCCCAGTCATTGTTCTAAAGTCTTCCCTAATTTTCGTTTATAATCATTCTAGTTTCTTAAGAAATCAAGGTTTTGGTCAGTTATTCCTTGAATGTGATTCATATGTATGGCACCTAGGTGAGCGATCGATCCCATCTGGAATTATTTTAGACGGTGGTTCTGACTGGATGATACTACCCAAAATATTTGTGGATTACGTTATTTATAGTGAGGCTAATTTATTACGTGATATCAAAGAATACTTTCGCTATAGTTTACTACCGGTTGAGGTAAGTATATTTTGTCAAAAGTCAGTGTACGTTTTATACTTCCTAGTAGTTTTCATAGTGTTATAGTTAACCTTCTCTTCAGTAATTTTAATGATTCAGTTGTAAACTATTAGGTTCACTGTTTAGATTCTAAGTCGTTCACTCCCATTCGGGAGATCAAATAATAAGTATTTTCAGCCTAAATTGTGGATCTCTTAGAGTGACCGAGACATGTCTTGTGTATACCCGATCACTGCTGGGTAGAGTAGGGGTAGGTTAGAAAAAATGCGAGGGTTTATTGACCAATCAAACTCTTCCATTTATACCCACATTACATGTGGTGATTGCTGGTCAAAGAAACGGTCACACAGAACGAATACCTAGCAGAATTAGTATAAATGAATATTATGTTGAATGAACGGAAAGTCACACTAAATAAATGCTAGATTTAACTTCAACACCACTCAATTAGTTGAGAACTGCTTTCGGGTTTCTGCGGCAGTGCATTGTTTTCCCCTAGGACTAGACGGATCATTCCCTTTATGAATCTAGCTCAGGTGTCCGAGGTATTTAACGTTCTTTGCAAGTCAGTTAGCGGAAAGTGTCCAGAAGTCAGTCGGTCAGTTACAGCATACAACTTCGTTTATGAGTACATCAATTCAGGTTGCCATACCATATTATCACAGAGATGCGATTGTCGATTCCAATCCAATATTGGTAGAGATAGTACAAGTATTAGCGGTAATGGAGAAGATTAGGGTTCGAAGAAATTATTCAAGAAATGTAATTCAGTGAAATGGATTTAGAAATAGAAAGACAAAGGTGATGCGGAATTCAGAAGATTAGGATTTGAGAGAAGACAAAGAATGGATGCACCTGCGCCATAGCAAACGATTTTGAACCATGTCGTTCAAGGTCTCTAACCATCGGTGACTTTCGTCTCGCGGAGCCCAACCAGGTAGCCTGCATGTACCAACATAACTCAGTTCACTTGTCAGTGACTTCATATATTTGTGCCATGTTTTGGTCTGGCCGCCCCTAACTTTCTTCCAACCTATTGCTTCATCGCAAAACATAGCTCAACGAGTTAGTTAGTAGTTGGGCATTTGTACTGCTGCGCAGTACACTCGTCCTTTGGTTAGCGGACTGATATCTCGCCCACGCCATCAGTGACGCAAGTTGACAAAAGGCATTCGAGCGTTCTGTATCCGTCCTGAGATTTCGTCAGACACGAGGCCATCAACACTGATGAGACTCCCGAGATAAATGAAGTGTTCGATGCGCTCAACTGCTTCACTCGCTATCACTAGTTCAGGTGCCGATACGAGCCGATTGTGAAGCAGCATTTTGAGTTTCGAGGGGGAATACCGTATCTCAAACATGCTTGCGTTTTTGTTTAGGGTAGTCAGAAGACTGCATTTTGTCAGCGTCTTCACCAAGTAGAACTATGTCTTCGACATATTCTGAGTCATCAAGCGAGTCTCCTGTTAGAAGGTTCACCCCTGAAAAGACAGATGAAGATAATGTCGAAAGTGTCTAGAAATATGTACAGAATTATGGTTGTGGTTGTAAGTGGCTCGAAAGTATTTGTTGTGCATAAGTGAGTGAGTTATCAGGTCCATTGACCCTTACCTAGGATGCTTTGTACAATACCGTTCTTTTGAATTCTGGATACATGTTCTTCTGTCTAGTTATGATGAGGCTGGTATTCATAGATAAACACCGGTGTGCAGACTTTGAATTCTGGAAGAGCATCTCTTCAGCAGTATAGGATAATAAGTTGTTGTTTTAGTTCTCTACACATGAAGGCTTCCTCTGAAGATGATTTTTTGGAAGCTGCGTGATTAGGCTTGATGTGGCATACAAATGAAAACCTTGTGAATTTAATGTCCTTTTAATTTTTTCAGTGCTTTCCTGAATGTATGAACGAAATGTCTAGCTTTTTCACTCGAATGTGAGTGGTAAAAGTGACAACAGACCTCAGTGCGAACTGCGACTCATTATATAATACTAAAATCCAATGCATAACCTCAGCTCCTCCTCCGTAAGAGGAATCTGCAATCTTGAGGAAACCACCTACTATGAAAGACGTGAACACCAGAACTAATTTTAAAAAGTTTTTACAACAGTGGTTAGATCATTTTCCTGACTGAAATGTTATTAATTAAACCGAATCGAGGGAAAAGTTAATAGTGATATTAAACAACCCAAGATAATTTTTCGTACTCGTTCCACTGATTCTTCATCGTTTTAGAGTTTATATGGTTCGTTTTCTCTATTAATTTCTCTACAGTATGTTGTATTACTTGAAATGTTACAACTCACATCCTATCCAATCACGCTTTGTTCCAAACAATGCCACTACAACGTCAAGTCAATGCATTAAAAATATATATGTATACTGATTCTCCGCCGTTTTGAAATGCATTTATTTATGCATTTTTACTTACAGAGTTTCTTTCATACCGTTGCACAAAACACCCATTTTTGCACCTCAGTTATCAATCATTATCTACGGTTTATCAATTGGAAAAGACCACAAGGTTGTGGATGTAAATATGGCAGTGTGGTTGATTGGTGTGGTTGTTCTCCACTTACATTAAACGGACCGAAAGATGCAAAATTTTTATGTGAATTAACTGGCAAATGTTTAAAACCAGATTACAGATTACAACCATTATTTTTCGCTCGCAAATTCGATTCAACTATTGATCTGGGGATAATAAATTTTGTCATATATAAATTATTAGAGCGTTACGATCTAACAGGTAATCTGATTCAAAACCTATTTTTACTCCAAACTCTTTTTATATTATAGTGATGCGCTAAATTATTCAAACGTAAACGTGTATATAGGTTACAATGGCTTTTGATCTAACTGCACTTGAATGAATCCGACAAATTTAGGCTGAGATAATGTTGCTGGTTTGATGGAATTTGCAATTCTTGGCTATAAATCAGGAAAACCTGATTAGGATTCAGTTAGTCAGTCAGTTGCAACGTAGAACTTCGTACGTATGTACATAAGTTCATGTTGCCATACCACATTAGCACAGAGACGCAGATGTCAAATCAAGTCCCATAGTGATAAAGATAGTAGAGGTATTAATGGTAATGAAGAAGACTAGGGTTTGAAGATATTATTCAAGAAGTTTAATTCAGTGAGATAAGGTTAGGAAGACAAAGGTAGAGGTGCTGACGAATCCAGAAGATTAGGATTTGAGAGAGCTCAAAGAATGGATGCACCTGCGCCATTGCAAACGATTTTGAGCCATATCGTTCAAGGTCTCTAACCATTGGTGACTTTCGTCTCGCGTACCCCAACCAGGTAGTCTACATCTACCAACATGACTCAGTCCACTTGTCAGTGATTTCATGGATTTCTGCCATGTTTTGGTCTGTCCGCCCCTAACTTTCTTCCAACCTACTTCTCTTTTTCTAATTTTATATATATTTGACATAAATCTGGTAGTTGTCCTCGGTTTTTGTAGACTGTTTGTTGACTTTTGTCAATTACCAGTAATTATTATACACTAACAATGTCATAATAGTATCTGGCTTATAGACGAGCTTTAAATGTTAACCCACATTTAACCAGATATACCCGCAGGCAAAACCTTGAGTTAAATTCATCTACCGTTTCTCGCCCTATCTTGACTGAAAGTTAGGATAGTAATCTAAAGGTTGTGTTCAGTGTGCTTTCCACTCAGACTTTAGTTAAATCCATCTTGTCTATAAAGTAATCTGGTTAAGTTGTGGGTTGTATTTATTGTGTTGTGCGATTCGATTTCGGTTGTTAATCCACTCTCCCAAATGCTTTGTCAGCAGGCTAAACAGAGTAGGAATCATTGATTACATGGGGTCTTTAATAGCAAAACAAATTAATATCGAACAGAAATATTGTGTTTATGAGTTGTCGAACTGATCCATACAGAGATATGATGAGGTCACCTCAGGTGAATAATTTCTTCGCTTGCACTTACGCTACTCACCTTCCTGTACACTTATGTCAGGATACAACCGTCCTAGGATCTTCCAGTGTATCAGTACTGAGACAAAATTCATCAGTTTTTTTGTCTTTTATTTTTGTTTCAGCTAACGTACATAATGATAACTTTTATTTGGAAAATATCTACTCCAAAGAGGAGAACTCATTAGCAGATAATTCACATCAAAACACAGTGTATTTAGCTTTGAAGTGTTTATCAAAAAAACTGATGTTTCAATTAATACGAAATTATAATTACGATCCTGATTTACTCTGTGAGTTGAAATGTGTTCATTTGATGCTCAATGATTTTACTATTTGCTAATTAGTATTATTTATTGCAATTAGCATAGTTAGTTGCATGCGCATGCATGGTGGGTCACAAAAAACGCTCTAAGCATAGTGTTATTGATGACATTGTAAACAATTCCAGTTTGTTTGTGAAAATACATTTATTCGCTCTAAAACTTCACAATGCACCAATATTTACCTGGACACTTGACCAGTATGCTAATACTTTCAAAGCAGTAAATCAATAATTAGCGACATGTCCTCACTCTGGACTCAGTTAAAATAATGATTTGCGGCAATTCTTTCCAGCCTGTTTTAATTTATTTCTTCTTATTCACTAGATGTGTCATTTAAATCATTAAAATTTTCACCCAACAGAGATGAGTTGTCGTAAAGATGTGATTTGTAAAATTATGAACATAACGATCTGAGAAAAAAGACAAGAGCTCAAATTTCTGGGTAGTCTTATTAGTGAAGAAAGTAACTGTGTAGCACTTCAGAATTTACGCCTAGTCTTCTTGCTCTCAGAGAAACTGATAATTACCCACTCTCTTAGATGAGAACTTTGTTATACTTCTCAAGTTATATTTTCCTATTAATGCTTTTCTCTAATCCATTTATTTACCCAGTCATTTTATTGGTCTGTCTATAGATGTACAATCATCGTTGTTAAATAGTTTTGCATTGTTCAATGCAACAGGTTGGGAAGAATTTGATCATAATCCATCGAACGAGCTATTGAATACATGGGTTAACAAAAGGAATATTGTACCGCCGTTAGTAATACAAATTCAATTGACAAAATTTATGAATTTGAGTAGCATTAACAATAAAGACCATGTTCTCTTAGAATTCTTAATACATCCACCATCACTTAGTTTCACTACTGTAAATACTGCTGATGACTTATTACCCGGTGATATTGGTTTTCTAGAAGTAAGTTTAGTTTTACTTCATACTGTATTGCATTTTTTGTCCAAGAAATTACACAATGTAAATCATCGCATCCATAGAAATCCACAGTGGCGATTTTATATTCAAGGAAAATAAAAATAAATGTGGCTTAATAATGTTATTAGATTGTGGTTTTTAAAGATTGCTACTACCAGTTGTCCGTAAGGTAATAGATTTTAATTTTTATTAACGCGTAGATCAATAGCCGGTGATTCTTAATCCTCTTTCCTATGAAAATTCTTCCCATCAGATAACCCTTTTGGATAATAAAACTGACAGTATGATTGGTTTTACGTCTCCTAATATCACTTACCTGGAATATGCAGGTCGAATGTTGTAAACATCACAATATGTTCACTAGTCACTAGCTTCGTGAGGAAATTCTCGGAGTTTTAGTGTGAAGACGTAACCAGTAGAGTTCAACTCTGTTGGGTGTAGGCAGCAACTACCAAAGACAAATGTATGAAGTCGCGCGAAATCCCTGGATTGATTAGAGTTAGAAATTAATACCTTTTAATGCGGGCCAAACAGTCAGTTGGTTACAACGTTAACCTTCGTACGTAAGTATATAAGTTCAAGTTAACATACCACATTAGCACAAAGACACAATTGTCAATTCAAATCCCATAGTAGTAGAGGTAGTAGGAGCACCAGCAGTAATAGAAGAAATTAGGGTTTGAAGATGTTATCCATTTATGTTATGTTATCTATTTAAAGGTGATGAGGAACTCATAAGGTTAGGATTTGAGAGTTCACAAAGAATGAATGCACCTGGGCCATTGCAAACGATTTTGAGCCATGTCATTCAGAGTCTCTAACCATCGATTACTATCATCTCGCGGGCCTCAACCAGGTAGTCGACACCTAACAACATGACTCAATCCAGATGTCATTAACTTCGTGGATTTGTGCCATGTTTTAGTTTGGCCACCCCCCGCTTTCTTCCAACCTATCCCTACATCGTAAAACAGCTCGTCGAGGCAGTCGCTGGTGAGGCATACGTAACATATGTCCCAACCACCTCAACTGATGAAGTTGAGTTGTGACATTATAAGATCCATTCAAGTTCCTTTTCACTTTGTCTAACTCGCTTAACTCTTTGAAGAAGGTTATAAAGCTTTCTGTAAAACTCTCTTTAATCTCGTCTGAACTTCAGTCAATCGGAGCAGCGAATATCCTTTTCTTTCCGAGTCCTTACTGTCCTGTTTAGTCGAGCGTTGCATAAGCGTCTGTCTACGGGGATCCAGTCTAAGAGAGCTACTTCTGCCCTACGACCGAATACTATATCTACACCAGCTAGGCCACGGGAAGCAGCATCAAGGCTTCCAGGTACACGGAGCGTAAACCTAGTTGGTTATTTATTTGAACATGGTTAAGTCGAATTAATCACTTTATCGGATCCTGTAGGTGTGTTTTGGAAACGCAGTATACACCGATGGCGCGAGATTCGCAAATCCTAGCTTATGAAGTCTGTTTTCCTGTTTGACACAATGTTCGGAAATTTTAGGCTTCAATATGTAGTTCTGAACAGGGTTTCGCGAGACCAGGAATAATGTTTGTGAACTCGAATCTTTTCAGGATATTCTAATGCGACCCAACTGAAATACTCCTGTACTTAAATTCTGTCCTGGTTATCCGAGTGTTGATACTCAATTGCAACCTTCCTGTTTATGAGCACAACCAGCTACTCGGAGGATAAAACTGAGAATGGGAAGTTTATTTGCTAAATCAAAACAGTATGCATTTATACTCACTATATATATACCCCTTCAAAAACTAAATCATCAATAGTGTATATCTCTTCCTTTCGGAACGAAAGCCATTCCTGAACCAGACATGCGCACTGATCATTTATCCGATTCTTGATCAGCTTAATGTTTCGATATTATTAACCATCTTTTCAAAAAAGCTAATTACTTTGAAAGTAATGTCGTGCTAATTCCAATTTGATTTTGCACTTTTAATTAATTCCTTTAAGGAGTGTTAAGGTATTGTAAAGTTCATTACTTAGAATCAACCTAAGCTGTTCTATATGTCATGCCACCGATTATTAATCATGTAAGACGTCTATTAAAGCTTTGTTCTCAGAAAGTAATATTACAGTAGAATAATTCAACAATATCCCAATTATCATCACCTGTTGGTAATGTAACTGCTTTATTTTGGTAAACTCATGTAATTAATATTAGCGTAACTATATAATTCTAACGCTCCTTCTTATGTTTTAGATCAGTTCAAATTTCGATGTTAAAGAACAGATATTTCGTAATTATCCACGTCTCCTAACCTTACAAGAAACTCTAACTATTTTGGTATTATGGAAGGGAAATTCTGATCATAAAACATACAAAACTTCAGTTGTATTCACTTTAATCAATCCTTTAGGTATTCCATGTTCAAACCAACTCACATTGCCCCTTATACAAAATGAACACACTGTTTGGTCGTTGGCTATGCCAGAATTATATATCACTACGAGTTTACTCAAAAACACAATTCTAATGAATTGTGTGCAGAAGCGTGTTGATATTGTTTCTGGTGAATGGAATATTATTGCTGCTACTTCAAGTGGGAAAATTAGTCGTGTCAAATTTGTTCTACTTGACCCATTAAAGCTTAGCCAATCGTTGAAACATCCTCACAGATTATTGGTAGACAAAAAATTGTTCGATTCAGAGTCCTGGGACTCTATTCAACTGACTGACTTTTGTGTAATACAACAATCGACTAAAACAGAGTCAAATTCATTGTATATTAATAAAACTAATGATAATATTGTTCGCATTTCCAACAGTTTTTCAAATTATTTTCACCAGGATTGTACCAATGTTCAATGGAGTTCCTTTTTTGAACATTCTCATTTGTAATCCATTGTTATGCGTGAATTTTCGATCAAATCCTCTTTCTTTTTTTGTAAATACTTATAATTTAGCTCTAAATATATTCACATTTTTTCAAATAGTTCACTGTTTGGGCACTCCGAGTTTCTTTTGGAAGCCAATGGTCCCTATGGTCTTCAATAGCTTTTAGATTATATATCATACATCCTCGAAAACGGACCTCTTAGTTACTAATAAAATACTTCTGTGATAGGTATTTTCTAACATCATATTTTTGAATTTATTCTGTTGACCATACAAGAAGATGCCATCATCTCCTAAGCCGTCCTGTTTCGGATAATTTTAAGCTAATTTTGTTTTGATACAATTTTTGTAAGCTATATCTTTTAAGGACAAAATGTATAGTATTCTAATCACTCGCAAAATTTTTTGCCAAATATCGATCTGCATTGTTTAGCGAACCAGGTTAACGCAAAATTGTTCGTTTGGATATGATTGGTTGTTTCAATATTCAGGTTCACTATGACAACAGTGTATAATCGCGCTTATTTCTTTTTAATTTCTGACTGCTTTTATTACTGCACTTATAAGAATAAAATCAAACTTAACCACTGCCAAATAGATGAAGGGCAAAATAAATTTGGCTAGAAGCGCATAAGTCCATCCATCCATATATATATATATATATATATACCAATGAATTATCTACTACTATTATCTCAAGGTCGTATTAAACCTGACGAATTACCAGTCATCAGTCCTAGGACTATCTATTTTTTCATTTGCTCAGCTTATACAGGTGAGAAAATGTAATTCTTTCTAATATTTAAAACAAATGTCAACTTCATAAAATGATACCCTGTAGTTACAATTTATGTTTGTCATAAAAACAGTAACTAAACAAGTTTGGTGCAGTGACTCGGTTAACAAGTTGTCGCGGTAAAATCTGTGATATCCTATGTAGGAGTGAAATACAAGTGGTCCGATATGCATCCATCTTAGTATTTCTCCAAATACATATTTCAAATTGTAGCAGTTTATTTAATATACTAATAATTTATAAACATACTAAGAGATTTCGTGCTAAATGATTCAAGGTTTGTGTGCTTGTTCAAACGTGATACAATTTTCTAGTGAACGCTCACAAAGAATTCCAGAATAGGAAGAAATTATTTGTTGATTTTTTATGACATTGTGACTGTTTTAGTTTTTTATTGACTTTTTTGATTAAAGCCACATCCTCGGACAGAAATTATCGTCATTTAGATCAGTTCATTTTCCAAATGTTTATGTTAACTTGTATGCATTTTCGATAAATAATTACATTTCAAGACCAGAATTTTATCAGGTTCCTATTTAAATATGTTTATTAAAAATAAACAGAATTTCCATTATGTTTACCTCTATAGCTTGTGAATTGATGTATTTTATTTTTTGATCAAATGAAGAGCGCTATTATGCATGTAGCTCTAGTTGACCATATTATCAAACGCCTTTGAATTATTATTTTTATTTCTCAATCGGTTATCAGAAAATTTAACCCCGTCATCGCTTTGCACCGTATTCCTAGATAGTATCACTGAGTTGAGTTATACAAGAAGTGAGTGCTCATCCATATATTAAATTGTGTCTATGATGATAACCACTTTTTAAAGAGAAACTGAGGTCGAGTTTGTTGTTGTTTATTCTGAATAGTGAGTTCAGTGATTTGACAGTAAATGGCGATAAATCGGACACCGGAACTTCAGTTCAACGTCGGGTTACTCATCCAACAGGGCTTGATGTTTTTGAAAGTATTTTTCCATCTTATGAAATAATATTCCATTGATATTTTCATACCGGTTGTCATTCAAAAAAGCAAATCATTTACACATATTTCAATCCGTTTTACCACGTATTCTTAACTAAGCAGAAAGTGATACCCTGTGGATCAAATGGTTTTCACTTGGAACCAAATAATAAATGACCAGCACATAAAAAATATGAAGTGAATAGTCAACTTTTATTTAGAATAAAATGTACGCGATAAGAAGTCAAAAATACTAATGAACATTTAAACACACTTTTGAATCATTTATTCTGTAGATTCTGAATAATTGAGTATTATAAAATAACATCATTTTATACTGTTTTTTTTTCTTAACTGGATAGATTTTTCTTTGGAAAGACGTATATTACAGGAGAGTATATATCATGATATTCGTAAATATTCGCAAGAAAAATATGGGCTCGATGTTTGTGTAAGTTGAAAAAGTTTCGATGATAGTTTCTTTTCACAATCAATATTATCACTTGACAGACCACTAGAGAATGCAGATTCTTTGAGTATTCATGCTTGTTTTTAGGTTCTGTTAGATATTTTCATAACTGAATCACCAACTGTTGCGCATAGTGTTGTATATACATGACTGTTGAGCCCTTATAAAAGCAAATCACATAGCTGACTCTTTTCTAATTCTGTTTAGCTCAACTAATCGAACTTAACTAAGAAATACTTTCGTCGAAAGTGATCAGTATTATTTAATGTGATAAAGATCTATGAAATTAATTTTGAAAAACATTTAATTTTATTTAAAACTACTCTAGTCTGGTACTTTGAAGAGGGGTTAGTACTAAATACTAAGACTAAAAACGTATGCTAGATTGAAGTCATTTTTTCTCCAATTGAAGATATTAGTATTCCTGAATTTCAATTGTATGAGAGTTGGTAAACTAATTTCGATGTTGTATTCGGCTATATTAACATTTTCTAATGATTATTTAATATTATCTACAAAGCGGTATTTTTACTTACAGTAATATAATCATTTAATTATCTTAACAGTTTATCGATCCTAGACCGTTGGAAGATACCGTCCCATTAGAACATCTTGGATACGTTGACTTATTTCGAAAACTCAGCTTGCAATATTGTCGTAATGACCTTAACTGCTGTCCAATCGTAAGTGCTGATTTAAAACATACCACTATTCAGTAGTTTCATGCAATTTATTCTTTGCTTGTTGCTTCACTACAGTCAGTTGTTTGTTGATTCAACAAAATAGTTTTTTTCTAAAGCTTTCTATTCAGTAATTAAGTAAACATCGATTTCCCAGCACACTTATCTCAATTCCAGCATCAATGAATCCGCTAATAATTTTTTTAACTGTAGCCAGTCCACAATATAGGCAAAGATTTTAGTCGAAGCATTCGTTTGTACTAACCGGCTGCTGCATGATAACTAATGTCATGTTGTCCAGTCGCTGAACTGACTGAATTCAATTTGTAACATCATTGATTTTAAACAAATGATATCGTTTTAGATTTTGTTGGACATCAGTTGTCTGAAGGCAGTGCCTTAAAAAACCATGGGATCAAACTTGTATTAGGCTGTACACTTCTGTAAATCATGTATAGAATGTTGGCTGAACGAATGCTTATGTTGGAGCTGAGTATTTTCTATCTTAATTTTTCAAGTATTTCAAACACAGAAGCCTGAATAATATTCCATCCTCTTAATATTTCAATGAGTTTGTGTTCTCAGATCACTGTCAACTCTGTATTATTAACTGATTCTCGAAACTTACTTACTTTTTGGGTATATTTCTGACTGTATGATATGGTAGAGAAAATAAATTTGGCATATCATTACAGCATGAAAAACTATTTACTTCTAAAAATGCAAGCAAGATTGAATCTTCACATTTATTTCGCAGGTCACATAGACATTAAATTGAACAGAGCTACTGTTTGTATTTACTTGTATTCCAGACGGTAGATATTTAGTTTTCAAAGTAGAAAGAGTGCTTAACATTTCTCGTTAGCTCTTTTTTTAACAAAGTTATTTTCTACGGAATGGAATTACTAACCCCATGCCCGACCCTCCTCCTTTGTCTGGGATTGAGACCGACTGTAACACAAGAGTAGGGCCTCAAGTCGGAGTCATCACTAAATGTACACACATTTATATTTCTGACCATTAAAATAGTTCAAAAGAAGATAACTTCTGTAAATATGGCATAGATTGGAATAAGTCTTTGATAGTATCACTGAAATCATGAACCAATCATTGTTAGACCACCATAAGAAACCTGGAAGCATTGGACGGCCGTTTCGTCCTGCGCATCCATAACTCTTGATACTCGCAGAATTCGAACCCAGGAACTTCTGACTTGCGCGCAAATGCCTAACCTCTAGCACCGTTCGGTGGGTACTAAAGATTAGTATTTGAACTCTTTATACATATCTGATGACTTAAAATTCATGTTTTCTTCTAAATATAAATTGCTTCGAATAGTATTTTTCAAATTATATTTGAAAAGAGTCGTGCTGTGGATATTTTTGCGGTGTTGATTTGATTGATGTTGAGACAAGATGAATATGGCTAAATAAACTTTGAATATCCTATATAATGCTAAATCACAGAAATACTGTAAGACTTCACTTTTATCTAGCTTTCAGACCCTGTCATCTTAAACAGGTGAATAGCTTGGCAATATGTGATTCAATCTAACATTCTGGAAAATCAAAAATAGTATTGATAATTTTAAAAAATTTGTTACGTAACTGACTTTCAGAGTGTTCTTAATTTATTACATACTTTTATAGATACTTCTCGGTCAAAAGTATGGTTTGCCATTATTACCGAAAGAAATTCCTGCCAGTGTTTTCGAATGCATTGTCAATCGTATGAAACAAAAGACCGGTAATCCATATCATAAAATTCTTCAAGAAGTTGACTTAACCAAATGGTATCATCTAAACCCAAATATACTTGGTGAACCTGAGTGGCATTTGAATCCAATGGACTATCTAGGCGATAAGCTGGAAAATGAGGTAAGCATGTATATCTGGTGTTCAATGTTTTACTTAATTCGATTGGGTTTTTCGTTTTGACTTAGAGACAAAATTGAATTATTTTCCCAAATCTTTTCTTTCCTGGTTGGATCATTCGAAAAATATGTAGAACTTACTTGTCGAAGATCAAATATCATATGTTAAGCGATTATTTCCGAAGAGTCACCATCTACTCTGAGCGTGTAATAGGTTGAATATTCTTTAGCTTAATGTGAAAATGTTTTTAGTGCCTAGTATACTACGTTATGTCGTCTAATTAAGTACAGTTAGTAAGTTAATAAGCCAAATATACAACTTGAATCTACAATCTATAAATCTTACTGTAAAATAGACTTGCAGTCACATAGTTTATTCATCATCAACAGATTGATTGGCAATCGAATATCAGTCCTTTTCATGTATATATATAGGTTGCGAATCAATAAACAGCGAATACTGGTGGTTGATGCTTTTAGATAGAGGCTGGTCAATTTTCTGCATTTTTTAACGGTGAATTTTTTATTTTGAACCTTCTACAAAAAAGGTCAGTTTCTTCGTGAACCGACATTCGCTGGATAGGCACTGAAATTCAGCATTAACTAGATTGCTTTTATGTCCAGAGACTGATTCTACATAGTAAGTATCATCTAATCCACAATTTCCTAGAGTTTTGCTGTTCAGTGTATCCATACAAGAGCATCAGACAAGAAATCCTAATTCATCAGTCATATAATATGATACGGGAAAAACAGAATTATAGACTGTATGGATTGTATGAAGCATATTAATTAAGCTCATTTAAAACTTAGATTGATACCTAAAGCGCTTTTGATCAAAACAATGCCACTAGTAATTAATTCTATTACATCTCTTTAAATAGAAGTGTTTCGTGCCCATGTACACTATCGACTGACTAGTAGATAAAATCAAATAGAAGACATTTAAATGTAGAATTATTCGACCATTAAAATAATTGTATACATTTATCAGATCAAATTATATCTTCTTTATATCCTTCAGGTTTTGTTGAAATGATATTGTTTTTATTCTCCACGCTAAACTAGTCTTTTGAAAGTCGCAAGAAGATAATGGATGCGTGGTATCATGAACGGAATATTATAGCTTGGATTTTTTATTATACTGGAAATCTGTGTTTACGAGAGAATCTAATAACAGAACAAGATTTTAATGCATTAGTATTAACAGGTCAGTATGTTTTTCAGTGTTTTCACGTTAGAGAGATAAAGAAAGGGTGTGCATTGCACATCCGATTTAATTCGAATACATTTTTGTCTTGGTAGTTTTGTGGTGTGTGCTACTTACGGTGCAGATTATAAGTAGTATGCAGTGGATGTGTAATGTCGCGCTAAAGTGATAGCTGAAGCAAAGAGTGTCGGATCGAGAGTTGTGGAGCGATCCGAGTGTTGTGACGAAGAGAAGATATTTGGAAAAAGAGAGCCAAGAATACGCTTGTTTTGTAAATGGATGTTTTATGATAAGGTGTACACTTTTTGCCTAATAGATTAGGCTTCGATCTCCTTTCATTGCATTATAAATCTTGATATGGATAGTTATGACTGCAGTTTGTCAGTTTCATTTGGCATATATACATCCATATGCGTATCCTGGATTCCACTTCAGGCCAGTGCCCATATTTGATTTAATTCGGCTTCAAAGTCAGTCGCTTACTACAGACTGTCAGGAAAGGCTGGATGGCTTTTCGGTTCTGGACTGTTTCTTCTAAGTTACTATGTCCATTTGTTCTAGAAATCTATACTACCATGGCAAATGTTGTAGCTGCTGATAAAACAACCTTTTCATTATCGACATCCTATTCATTAATAAATTACGTTTAGCAAAATATTTTTAATACAAGCCTGTTAAGTCTTAATGGAAAAGATCAACTTTTCAAAGAGCATATCTTTGAATGAAGCTAGTACAAGGAATTGAGCATATAACTGTAAATTCATCTTGATTTTTCAGGTTTTCATCAGCTGGAGATAAGAGATTCATTAGGAGGCGTAGAAGGGATTTGGTTATGACTAATTTGGTCTCGTGTGCTTGTACGGGTATAAGGGCGGATGTTACTTCCCGGCTACCCACACCGTGGAATGGCTCTGGTTGTCAGAAGGAGCATCGGCCTCGTGACTTCCGAAGAAACTCGGCTTTCATCAGGAGACGTTATAACTCTTCTGAATGAAGACCTTCTCACTTTTAAAGCAGAGTTTAAATGGTTCGAATTATTTTTTCTCGTTAGTGTTTTTTAGCCAGTTAGTATTTTACGGAATGGGGTCATTATTCTCAGACCTACCCTCTTTTGCTCGAGCTTGGGACCAGCAGTGGCTCTGGAGGAGCTCCGGGCGGAGTTTTGACCAGATCATTTGAAGTTTGTCAGAGGTTAATGTGTACATCGATGATATACTAGTAGCTAGAGCTACACCGAAAGATTATCTACTATTAAGGCCACGGGAATGTAGCAACAAGCCCTAACAACGTCAGCAGCTATTTAGTGGTGGATATTACATATATTCCTAAACTTTGTTTATATCCGTCCTGACAACCGTTACTACAGAACGTGAGTCTTTGCCGCAACTTCTTTATTATTCAAAATATGAAATGACTGATACAATTATCAGATTTATTACAAATATATAAAGTCGATATTGTTATCGAATTATTTAAACAATAAAGCTAATTGGATGACTATCTGCCTTGGTCATAAGCAGTGTTTATGTATACATGCGCACACAAGCTCAACAATGATGGAGGTACAGAATATATGTGAGGTACTTGAGACCCACTGAAAACAGCCTGGACAGAAAAGAATAACTGCGGTAGAGATACTGTTATTCTTAAAATAGATCCCAGCTATAAAATTCAAGCCTTATAAGATCTATTAAACGAAGAGGATGCCACTATGCAGAGTGGCTAGAAAGAAATTAAAGAAAAAACGACTTTAGCATGTTAGGAGACTGGCCGGCAAAAAGCAGCAGCATAAGAAACGGGATTCTGTGGATATCGTGGATAAGATTCAAGAAAGAAAGAATAAGTTGAGTTCTCAACAAAGTGTTATCGATCCGATTAGAAGATTCAGTAGACTCTCAACTACAAGATTAATAAGTTTGCTTTCATAAAGATAGATCATGTACCAACCAAATCGTGGACTCTGGACCATTGTTGAACATTTGAATGGAACTCGTTGTTATACATCAACTTCCTCGGCTTTGATTAACCATTCAATAGCTTGTATAAGAAAGTTTGTGGAATCATCTTCGGAACCATGAATTTCCTCAGAAGATTATCACCAACACACGGAACTCTTACGAGGCCGAATCGCAAAGTCGCTCATAGGGGACAACTCAGTGATTCATCTTAAGTGACAATTTGTGTCTACTCTATCCCATCTCCTGATTGCTAACTGGATTATGAACACCACATGTTTAGAGAAATATTGAATACAGAAGACATCTCGTACGCTAGTGAACGATTTAGACTTTTCAAATGACTTAACCCTGCTCTCTCATACACAACAAAAATTGCGAGTGAAAACCGGCAATTTAATATCCTTCATATAAACAAGTCTCAATATTCCTAAAGGAAAAACCAACATCCCGAAACACAACAGCAAGTACCAAACAAGTTGAGATTAGGGATGAAGCTCTAGAAGAGGTGGGAGTGTTTAGTCGTCTACTTGGGTAGTATCATCGAAAAACTTGGAGGATGTGGAGGTGAAAATTCGCGCAGCAAAGACAACATTTTTATAATTAAAGATTTCTGGAACTCAGAAAGCGTCACATAGTCTCAAAGAATTTTCAATGCAGATGTTAAAACAGTAAGTGAATTTGTTATGCAATTCATTCTTGAGTTCTACAAAACTCTTCTGTCTATTATCTTCAAGAACTTCATTTTTCTAAAGGTTCCCCTTGACAATACTTATCTTTCGTCATTTCAGAATTCTCGCATACACTGTCGTTATTAATCAGTTCAACTGAGGTAAATTGTAATAGTTGGACAAACAACAACGGATCACACATAAATACTGAGTGGATGTTTTCGGACCCAATAGTTCTACAAAGGGAAATAATTGACCTTCAGTACTATATAGACGATGAGTTGAATACTGAAAAGTATACTGATATTATACCGAAGTTAACACCTACGAGCGGAACAATATTTGATAGCCAGAATCCTGATATGCTAGAAAAACAATCCATGATTGATCATTTGCTTCAGGATAATTTACAGAATGTTATAAAATGTTTGTTTCAAAAGATGCCCAACAGCAATCCGGAATCCAAAGACCATAAACTGAAAGTGCTTTGGAGATCACCTAATGGTATTGATCGAAAGGTAATTTGTGCTATCATTTACTGGTGCTTTATGCATCTTTAACGCAATAACTCATAATCATTCCATTTTTCTGAAGCTAACTATTTGGATTACACTAGTTGCTTAATGATCCACACTATTACTTTTTGATACTACAATTTTAATTATAGGACTTATAAATAAATAAGCTTATTTTAGTATTCAGTGTTAACAATTAACAATAGGTTACAAAGTAATCATTACCATTAACAAGCACTCTTCTGTTACAAGTTGCTGTGACAGCTGATTACCTACCTCAATTTGTATGGTGGAAAATCAGTTATCTATTTGATAACTTCACTTGCCAACATAATCTGATCATTTTAGTCCAGCAAAAGTAAAAGATCATCAATGGTCTCAGGATGGCAAGTTCGTTTTCATTACTATCATTATAGGTGTGTTATTTCAACTAAACCGACGCGGTTTAATTAAGTTAATAAGATCACATGAATTACCGCTTATTCAGATTAAGTATTGATGAAAAGCAATATTTATCTAAAAACTATTAATAATATTATGTCATCAAACAGCTGCAACGTGAGGATATTTATTTTACTATCTACAAAATGAAAACTACGCCGTTTCACTTGTTAATCCCGTATTGGTATTAGTTGTCTGATTTCATTAATACTTTTAACTTATTTTGTATCTAGTGTGGACTGTATATAACCAAACTTTTATAATGTTCGAAGAGAGAAAGTTTCGTTGGGGTACATTTTACGTACTATAAACCCTCTCCATAGTGATCAGTAGTCTATATAGACATCTTTAATGTTTTATCAGATAATAATGGGTTCATGGACGAGTTACGAGTTATGTGGTGATAGAGTAAACCATCAGATCTAATCATAAGTCGACTTCGATCACCAACTGATCGAGGTGGAAAATGTTGGCCGTATAGACAGGGTTTATTAGAATATTAACATCAAAAATTTATTGTCCCACTTCTGATCTACACATATATATATATATAGTTTATATATATTCCTGATAAATTTTAGAACACGTTGCGTCAAGAGTTCCCTATCGAAAACGAGAGGTCAAATGGCGAACAAAAAACTATTAATTTTCTTGATTTCCATGTCCAGTTACTGCAGTGTTCTCGTCAGTTAGTAGTTTGATAAACGAGAAAACTACACTTAAAATAACTCGAAATGATGAACGGACAGAAACAATGTAGGAATAGAGATCTAGAAAAGCGATAAGTGTATGCATGTGTAACTAATAAAACAGACCGTAAGCTAACAGATTACTATTGTCTGAACAGTATGGTACCAAGGTTCATGACATCATCCACTGGTTTGTATCCTTTATGCTAGTACTACTCTACACCATCCATTGGTATTTATCACCCAATAGTTTAACCATGCGCTACCAACGCTATAAAACCATCATACACTTCATATCTACTTATTTCCTTCACTTTGGGGCAGAAATCCATAGTCTACCACTGGTTTCTTTAACTTTAGCCACAGGTGGGGCAAGCAAGATTTTTATTGACATAATAACGAGTATCTATGTATATATATAGTTCATTTGGTATTGTATGGTTATTTTTGTTTAATATTCATGGGCTTATGTATACAAAAAGTATTACGGGTAGCACTATGTGCTAGAAAGTTTTCATATATAAATATCTACATAGAAGACAAAATGCAAATCACATAACATAAAGGCGAGTACAATCAAACATATTATCGAGATTATTACCACTAGAAAAACCATGGCTCTCAGATGTATATTGGTCAGATTAATATTGCTGTAGGAAATAAGACCAAGTTATCTGTAATATGGAGTTAAATAGTCTAAAATAGATGTATGTATTTCAGCTAAGGTTTTTAGAATGATCACTCTTACACAGGTGGATTCCATTTCAAAAATTAGTGGTATAACAGCAGAAGAAACATGTAATGAAGTGCGTTGAAAACTCTCTAAATATCGTTATGATTGTTTACCTCGTTACCTCGATTTCATTTGGTGAATAAATGGAATTTTAGATCATACTACTCACAAGTAAGCAAAGTCTTAACCGCAAATATTGCAAAACTTGAACTCAGCCATATGTTCATTGTTGTTTCAGTTTCACAAAGATTATCTCTCCGAGTTTGTTGCCCGATTCAAGAATCTTACGTGTGATGCGATTGATAGAAGGGCAAGTGCGAAAATTGCCCTATTGTTACCCAATCTATCAATTGGCCATTCACTATTACAAAGAAAAGAAAATGTTGTACCTCTTCAAGAGTTAGAAAACAATGAAGCAGTGTCAAATACTCTATCTGTACCTGTAATCACTTTCTCACAAATTCAGAACAAACATACTTATTTGGCTAGGGAATTACAAAAGCGTATAAATCTCTGGGATAATGTATGGAATTCATTAAACTATGTTGGATGGTTAGTACCGATTGCAAGTTCTTATGTAAATGAAATAGATACCTTATTATGTTATGTAGAAGATACCGACCCAACAGCACAAGTTCCAATGTTAATCTACAGTACTTGTGAAACTACGGATAATACTAATCAAGAACAGTTTTGCTTGGCTAATTGTGTAGCTGCTTGCTGTTTTCGAGAGGTCAGTTTTTTTTATATTCTTACAGCTAAATAAATTTGTGCAATTGTTCAGGTTTTTTATATCACACACCAATATCAGGTTTAATGATTGTTTTTCATCAAGAACTTATTTCATTACAATCTACAATAGTAATTTGTTCAATTTCAGTGATAAGGTAGTCTGATTTCTTGATGCTTATATTTTAAAAAGCGACCCGAAATATTATGCCATAATTATATTCGTATTTGTTTTATTAAAATAGCTTTAAACTCATTGGGAAGTGTATTGTAACTATATTTCTAATACTGTTTAATAAGAGCAATTTGTGTGGTGTAATGTTATATTGTAACACGCGTAATCAGCAGTCACTGAAGGGCTGAGAGGATGTAAAATCACAACACACAAGGTTAGTTCAACGCCTCACACCAAGAGAGAACACGAAGTTGTTGTCACAGCACTCTTTTTATTTGAAAATCAAATACGCGGGCTTTGTACAGGAATAGGGTGGGTAGTGTACCAATGTCTTATGAGTCATCTTGTAAGTTTAGAGCACTCAGGGCTTGTTCTTCAGCTTCCAAAGCGTTTGTGTTTGATCGCCCTGAAACAGAAAGAAAACAGAACGAGTTAGCAACATCATACATAGTGATTTTGACTCCGTTACAATATATTCAATTAAATGAATTCTTGTAAACAGATCGAGAGGTATGCCGAAGAACGAAGAAGATTTGCTATCAAACGTGGATAGTGGCTAGCAATCGAATCCAGGACATGTGTTTCGTCCTTTTAAGACTTGTCAGCTGGATGTACCTACATATCAGACTTGATATCCGATCCGAGACTCGAACCTGGTGCTGTTCACTTCGAACATCACCAATTGCAATCCTAAACATCAAGTAATGAACCCAGCAGCTCAGTAGATAACACGGTGACGATGAAAATGAACAGTTCTAAGTTTGAGTCCCGGAGTGGACTATCAAGTCCAAGATGTACTTACATCCAGCTGACGATTCTTAAATAAGATGGAACGTACATTCTGCATTTTACTGCTAGCCATTGTCGATCTCTGCTAATAATGCTTGCGGCATAAAGGCACTATGGAAGCAATTCGCATAGGATACACCTATGCCAAAACAGACTCATCAATTGCAGTTTTAATTAATCGATGGGGAGATTCAAACTGTCAATACCGAATGAATTAAAGAAGATTTAGCCTATACTGCTACTTGTTTAACTTTGGACGCAAAGCTTCATCTTTCTTTTCTATTTGTGCATTTGTCCATCGGCATTATATTAGGCTAAAGAATTTTCCAATTACTTTAGTTTTTTAACGTGATGTAATTTGAATGCCTTGAAATTTTCTCCCGTTTTATTTTGTTTTTAAACTTCTCATATTGATTAAAATTATCCGTTGGTTGAGTGTGCTTAATACGTCAGCAACAGTGGTAGGCCTATCTGTGTATAATTAGGATTCCTATTATTAATAAATCCATCCATTACATTGTAACAGAGCTGATAAAAATTGGCTTCTATAGCTCTGTTTGTATGCCCCATGTAAAAACATTTTTCTTCTGCGGAAGCATTTTTGTACAAAATGTAGTGCATATCTTGGTGCTGAATTACAAATCATCACTGAAATACTACCACTGTATTGTCATTAGTACCGTTAGAAATCATAGAAGCAAGATTTTACAAAGGGGGGAAATCTATAAGGTAACTCTCGATTCTACTTTCAAATTTCTCTTTCACGCTATGTAGATAGATCTGATGAAATTATTTACGTTTATTTACAAAAATATATTTAGCTTAAAGTGTATATGTGTAGTAATTTACTAATCTGTCAACGTTTTTCATAGGCTTTTTCTTACTGATATAATATTCATTTTATACTAGTCTACAGGATATTTTTTATGTTATTAAATACTTTTTTATTCAGTGTTACTTTAATACAACGTTGTTTGTATGAAATTCTGGTTTGAATTCTTTAAATATCTTTTGTGTGAACTATGTGGATTGTATTTACTTGCTTACTCACTTACTTACGCCCGTTACCCCCAATGGAGCATAGGCCACCGACCAGTATTCTCCAACCTACTCTTTCCTGGGTTTCCCTTTCCAGTTCTGTCCAATTTTTGTTCATTCTTCTCATATCTGTCTCCGTTTCTCGGCGTACTGTATTCTTTGGCGGTCCAGATCGTCCAGCTACATCCTAGCTGTCCACTGTATACCTTGCTTCCTTCCAGATGTTGATGTCTTCATAATCCAGTCTGTCACCAGGAGAAAGAGAAAGGGTGAGAGTAGTCAACCTTGCGAATTCCGTATAATGTTGAATATCTTCTCAGGCACGCCTTAGTGTCAAAGAAACCTCCATAGTGTTGTCCTGTCCACGTCCGACCGAAGTTGCTACCTTGACGTGGTGGTCGGGCTTGCCTATCGTGATGACCCAACCGAGCTATATTTGCTGGAACATATGTTCCTGAAGGATCTACCATGCCAGGCAGGTCAATTGGAGAACGATGAGACTAAAAGCAGCTACCCCAGGTCTGAGGGCGAAGTCGTACTGGTGACTGCAGAGGGGTGTGACAGCAGTAAGGATAACCAGGAAGGGTTAGAAAATGACCCTAAAATTGTCACACCTCACCCTACCTGACGGATTTCCGTCTCCAGTTGTAAGGGCTGCCCACTAAGGGCTTTCAAGAATGGAGCTGATACTCAAAAATCCTTTCATAAAAAGGCCGTGCGTTACCGGCCTCAAGCAGTTGTCCCTTGAACTCTGCAGTCATGCTCCCAGATCTCTAAGACCAACACTATTCTACTTTCCTTTTCAGGCCCCTCAAGAAACACCCTTCCATGATGTGGGCAGTCGGGAAGTGACAACCGCCCTCATACCCGTAACAGCACACGAGACCAAATCGGTCGAAATCAAATCCTTCCTACACCCCATAATATCTCCTGTCCACGCTATCAAATGATTTCTTGTAGTCAATGAAGTTGATGTAGAGTGGTGAGTTCCATTCAATTCATTGTTCCACAGTCATCCGTAATGTTGCTATTTGGTCATTACACGATCGATCCTTACGAAATCCAGCCTGTTGATCTTGAAGTTGGGCGTCTACGAAGTCCTTCATTCTGTTTAACAACACTCTGTTGAATACTGTCCGGTATTGATAAAAGTGTGATGCCTCTGTGGCTCTCACACTTGCTGAGATCTCCTTTCTTTGGTATTTTGATGAGGTATCCTTCTTTTCAGTCTGTTGGTACTTGTTCTTCATTCCAAATCTTTTTGAAGAGAATGTGGAATATGTTTGCAGTTGCTGCCAAGTCTGCTTTCGTTGCCTCTGCTGAAATGTTGTTTGGCCCCGCTGCTTTTCCGCTCTTGATTTGTCTGATGGTCATGCTGATCTTTTCGATTTTGGGTGAATCCAATGGAGCTGGTCGATTCAAATGTTCCTTAAAGTGTTCTATCAACCTTTTTCGCTGCTCTTCAATGTTGCTGATTACTTTGCCTTCCTTGCTTTTCACTGATCGTTCTGGTCTACGATAGTTTCCAGCGAGCTTCTTTGTTGTATCATACATTTGTCTCATGTTTTCTTCTGTTGCAGCGTTTTCCTCCGTCATTGCTAGATCTTCCACATATTTACGTTTGTCGGCTCTCGTGCTTCTTTTCACTTGCCTGTCTGCTTCTGTGTATTCAGCTTGTGTGTTGGATTTCTCTGCTGTTCTTTGGCTGATGTTGATTCCTACCTTCTTCTTCCTCCTTTCTTGAATCTTATTCAGTGTATCGGCAGTGATCCATTTCTTGTTATGGTACTGGCCCAGAACCTCCTGAAATGTTGAAGTGATTGCCTCCTTGATCCGTTTTGAATTGTTCTCCATGGTTGTTCCCTCCCGATTGAGTAGACTGTGCAAGACCTGGAACCTGTTGCTGTGGGTTATCTTGAATTCGTTGAGCTTCCCAGTATCCCGAAGAAAGGCCGTACTATACTTTTCTGATGTTGTCCGCCCTGTTGTCCAGTGTTTCTTGAGTTTCATTTTCATTTTTGCAAACAGTAAGTGGTGATCTGAGGCTACATCAGCTCCTCTCTTGGTTCTCACATCCTGCGCGGTCCTTCTGAACGTTTTATTGATGCAAATATGGTCGATTTGGCTCTGAGGTAGTATGGTCCGGTGCAATCCAAGTAGCTTTATGTATCCGTTTGTGTAGGAATATTGTGCTACTTATGACCAGTTTGTTGAAGGCACATAGGTTTGCAAATTTCTCATCATTTTCGTTCCTTTCTCCCAGTTCATGTCGCCCCATGATATCTTCATATCCAGTGATGTCCATGCCAACCTTGGCATTTAGGTCTCCCATCAGAATGGTTTAATCCTTTGATGAGCATCTCTCGTCGATCGAATGCAGTCTCTCGTAGAATTGACCTTTAACATCTTGATTGTAGTCGTTGGTAGGTGCATAGCATTTGATGACGTTCATTGTAGTGTCCTCTTTCCTTGTTTTGAAGGATGCTTTGATGATCCTGGGTCCATGAGGTTCCCATTTATCCTTTCCATGTTTCTGTGCGGCATTTTCCTTTTCATGACCGGGGTATAACAGCAGTTTCCCTAAAGCTATTCTCAGTTGTCCTACTTGCGTGAAATGCGTTTCACTGATTCTAAGCACCTCCAGGTTGTATCTTTTCATTTCTGTTGCAACTTGGAATAGCCTTCTAGTCTCCCACATTGCTCGGACGTTCCATGTACCTAAAAGAATGGTTGCTCTAATTGTGAAAAGGGGCATCGACCTCGATACTTCCGAAGGAACTCGGCTTTCATCATTAGACGTCATAACTCTTCTGAAAGAAGCCCTTTTAACTCCCGTGACAGAGTTTTAATAGTTTGAATTATTAGAGTTTTCTTAGCGAGTTAGTTTTCTACGAGATGAGTTCGCCAACTACATGTCGAACCCTTCTTCTTTATCCAGGCTTGGGACAGGCAGTAGACCCAGAAGTTGCTCCAGACGGAGTTTCGATTGTATTTATAGTATTATTAATGTATTTTTCGTTTTTCTGTACATGTTTCAATGGTCATCTGAAACGTGGGTAGTGCTATGATTGCGCTAATTAAGATACATATATTGGCGAATAGAACGTAAACCAGTTACACAACAACATGACAGATGAGCTATTCTCTGTAGCCAAACCCAACTAACTAGTGCAAGAAGTCCAAGGTCAACAGGAAGATTGGATAATCCACAAGCATCTTCGAGCGAACCAATTCACAAGCACTCAATCCAAGTGTGATTTAAACAGTTCAAAGTGTGTCCATGGAAGAGTTATAAAATAGCACATTGAGAAAGAAGACTAACCAATGAGGTTTAATATCCTTCCAATTGGGAAACACGAATTGAAGGTAATAAGAGGTGCTTTCGACGCAAAAATAAGAAATTGAAATTTCCAAACATAAATCACGACGTTCAGAGGATTACCAAACAATTTCTGTGAGGATCTAGTATCCCCAACGGGTACCAACGTGTTTCAACAATAAATGTGACGTTGAAAGACCTGCATATGATCGATCTTTGATTTCAATTAAAAAGCTTTTCATTTTATCTCTCCTTGCATATAACAATTTTGGTTTTACTACTATAATTGCGAATATGTGAAATCTTGGATAAAAAACTTTTGTTACATAGGTGTTCTTTAAAATATTATTATTATTATTATCCTCTTTGAAAGTAACGCATTCAATGAATATTCATAAGTTTCATCGGCATACAAACACCCTAATTCTAAATTGTTAATTCCAGCAATAGTATAATAATCTTTATAGTTTTACTTGTATGATAAATTAAACGATAAAAACAAGTCGTCTCTGGAATACACTGTGAAAATATGATTAAATTTAACTCTGAGAGATTTTTCTCTCTACTCATGCATTAACCCATTTCGAATCAATTACAAGTGTTGATTTTTTTTTCTCAGAATGAATTATGGTAAAAACAAACAATTTTAGAATGATATCACAAAAACTAAAGTATAATTTTATCCGGACATTACATACATCAACTTGATTTTTTGGGGTCTATTAGTCATTGATTGCAAAAATTTATTCTTTAGGTACAAAATCGAATTAACACGAATTCAATTGATGGTTTTTCAATGATTCGAATATACACAAAGTCAACGCTGATCACTGATGCCTTGTCCGATTTAGCTGAACAAATCAGTTTCATTTTACAAACAGACATCAGTGCAATCAACACTACAACTTTAGCCTCCTTTCTTTATTCACTATCGTGCTTACAAAGAAATTGCGCTTCAAAATCATTAATCATCATAATTGGTGGCATAGAACACCTTGAAGTAAGCGAATATCAGGATTCTATGGAAGGCTTATTACCGATTCTACAAGCAAAACAATTACCAAGGCGTTTGGCTAGTGGAATAAAGTTAATATTATCAGGCAATCTGAAAATGACAAAGTTACAGGAGAATATTGAAGCAGCGGATACGGAAATAAGCGATGGAATCTTATTGCCTACATCAAGTTTAAATTTGGAAGTATGCTCACAAGGTTTAGCTGGAGCATTTACAAATTGTATACATAATTTAACTAAATTAAATCGGTGTTTAACAAATGACCAACTTCTCGGTGTTCATCAACTGTTCCAATTAATTTCTGACCAAAAGAATTTACCAATTTTAGCATGTGCTGCAGGTTTATGCATATTGCCATATCTATCATCTCAATGTATTCGAGGAAATGACCTAGTGTGTCAGTTGATCCATACACATTTGAACGATTTTATATCCTGTTTCGGGAAATATTTCTATCATCACACCGTTACACACTTTATCTATCTACTTGTCTGTTTAAGTAATGAGAAACTTAATGGTCCAGGTGCAACCATACATGAATTACAGGAAATTTTAAGTGTACCTTATGAAGTACTTTCAAATCAAACACTTCAAGAGTATTTTGGAACTGTTATTCTTCCAGTTTTTGACAATGGCTGTTTATTATTACTGCTGCATTCTCTTGAGAAAAGTTTAACTGCTCGTCTTGGTCATCGACATCCAATTTGTTCCATGGATGGATATTTTGTTTACCAACTTTCTACTAAAAATCAATTAGATCCAAAGACAACAGATGTTGTCAGCCATATGTTGAAGAGCTACTTTTTAAATGAATGGTCTGAACAAAGTAAAGATATTTTTCCTTTAAAACAATTTAGTATTTCATTTCATTCAGTTTACTACAGCATTCCTAGTGGTTCAAATAATCCTCAAAAGGGTTATAGTTGTGACCTACGTGTTTTAGACTATGATGTTCGTTACCTGCGACAACTGTCATTCTGTTTACTGAATTCAAAAGACTATTACGAGTTCAGCTACCGAACAGTATTCAGTTTTGATTGGCTCTATGGGAAAATTTATTCAGTAGGTGTCAAATCAGTACTCAACGACTTACAAGTACTCATTGATTTGTTGTCTAGTTTAGATAATCAATCGAATTTCACCGAAAGCACTGAAACAGTCAGATTTGCATCAAGCGTTATGCAAAATATACTTACACGATTAAGTAAAAGTCTATACAATAATCCAGATAGTTTATCAACTGAACTTGTTGGATATCTGATTCGTTTCACATCGAAATTTGTTAATGTGGGAAAACAAATGCCTGGATCCGAAAGAATTTTCCTAATTGATTTGCTTGTAAAGCAATGTGAGATGGAAATTTTTAAACGAAACCGTCTACTACCATTATACTCTTATCCACTAACTCCAGGCAACCCTCTTCTGGGACAAATCACTTGTACAACACCCTTATTGAATTTACATAATCTGAGTCAAAGCAATGATAAGTGGAAACGGAACAATCAAATATTAATTAAATTGAAAAATGATCCAATTATTTATCGATATGATTGTCAACAGGAAAGAGAGATCCCTTGTTGGAAGTCAAGTTCAGGATATTTGTACTTGACACCGAATGGTAAATACGCTATTATTATAGATGAAGAGAAGAGAGACACGTTAAAAATTCATCAGATTGACATAGATATCAACGGTTGCGTACCGCTAATAGGTCAGATCAATCCGGCTTTGTGGATTAAACCAATATGGACAAAAAACCCTGAAGAGGAAACACTAAGTATGGATATTATCTTCTTGGATATCACTAACGATTATGTGGGATTTATTGTACAGACTAAAAATACACGAAGTTTCTTAAGTCCAAGCGAATTTGTTGACTGTCTAGAAGAAGATGAAGATGAGAACTATCACACTCGCATGTGCGACGTCAATGGTGACACAGATGAACAAAAGACCAAACATCCGATCAATAGATCCAAGTCACTGCGCTATCTTTCTGAAAGTTTATCTGCTGGTACAATCAATCATGTGGTGATCTTTGAATTGACTACAGGAAAGCCTTTACATCTAATAAGTCCAACACCGTGTGCAACACTAGTCAAACTTGTTCAAGCTAGACAAATAACCGAGAAAACATCATTAAATGTTAGTGTTGATGATAGCAATGAAAGTATAAGCAGAGGTTGTGATTTATTTTTTATAAATTCAGCTGACCATTTACTTGGCTTTCATCTAAAATCCGGTGAACAACAATTTTCCATTGACTTACAATTTGTACCACGTAAAATTTTAGTCAGCAATAACAACCAACGATTATTCATCTTGGACAGTAATCATCCATGCGTTTTACAACTAATAATCAATAAATCGGGTCAAATCAACAAATCATTTCGCATTTCTTATGATGATCTAATTACTAAGGATAGTATTCTTGACATCAAATTATCAAAATACTACTCATTTCTACTTATTCATGCCAAAAAGAATGTCTTAGTCTATGATTATGAAAACGATGCTGTATTCGTGCATATCACACGTCCAACTGGTATACCAAGGGAATTTCGTCTACCAAATACCAAATATCAAAGTTTAGTTTTTACAGCTGTTGAATTTGCATTAAACGACCAAATTGTCCTAGCGGCAATATTTCGTAATATTTTAATATGGGATGTACGTCTGGGTGTACAACTGACTACACTAACATCGCCTATCGGTGTTATCTCACGTCTGTTAGTTGATTCTTCAGAAAGGCAGCTGATTGGATACATAAGTATGTCAAAAATCTTAAATTTGTGGAATTTACCTCTAGCACTCTCAAACGCTGCATTAAAACAAAATTCTGATACAACACATATCTCAATTCAAAGTGAGAGTAATAGGATGGATTGTCTAACTAAACCAATTAACCAATTAATTTACTCGAATTCATCCAACATACTTTTGGTGACATGTCACAATAGCGATGAGTTAGGCGTATTTGACTTACACAGCGGGCATCTTACTGACGTGTTTACACATAATGGAATAGTTCGGTCAGTTGTGCTTAGTTCATGTGGTAAATATGCTCTGATTGGCTTGGCTGTAAACAAACAAACAGATGACAATGCAAATTTAGTCTGGGATTTGTCCAAAAGACAGATTGTTATAGAATATGGTAATCAGGTTGGGTTTCACGTTGGAAGTATGAAAAGAAGTGGTCATTTTTTTCATCTGATGCCAGAGATGGCTTTGGACAATAATAATAGTAATAGCCGGGGATATTTCTATGTAATTTTGCATGTGGAAATTGATAAAACTAACAAGAAGGAGAACAAAGCGGTCATCAAACCAGTTACACCCAGCAGACTGTCATCCATTGTCCCCGGCTCTAAACCGTTTATAACGTCAGATGACCAACATTTAGTCATCCAACTGGTAAGCAGTGATGAATTAAAACAAGGTGCTTATGTATGCCAAGAAATTGCATTTTGGAGCTTTTGTTCTTCGCTTGAAAATGACAATGCGGAACAAAATGGAAAATTATGGTATGCACACACCAAAGTACTTAAAACTTTACTGACTGATTACGATGAACATGAGTTACACATTTTAAATTGTGTTCCTATTCAAAATGACTCCTCTCTAGTTGTTATCATCTATGCAAAATTTAATGATCGTATAAAATCGGATCTTTCAGTTGACTGGACTACGGGTATAGGATTTTCAAAAGGTATTCTTTTAACTGATATTGTTAAAACTAATAAAAGCGAACTATCGAAAGAATGGACGCTCGTTGTACTGAGATCGATTACAGGATTGAGTGAATGTTCATCGTTTCAAACTCTTCATTATTCGTTTCCAAAACACGAGCTGTATGATTCTGCTAATGGTCAATATTATATCTTACCACCAGGAACAAGACATGTGCCACACGATTATTTCAAGCTGAACAAGCCTCATTTCACAGTACAAACTAAACAGTGTACAAATGACGATTCGGTAAAATTTCATGGTTACATACTGCATGATCATTTGTGCATTTTTTCTCATCGTTCAACAATCTATTTAGTTAAACCGAAATTAGCCAAAATTGTTACTTTTATTGACATACACCATACTATAACGACAATCAGCAAAAATCCATTCAATGATCAAAGTTTATTTGTTGGTACACTTGACGGTTATATTATTTCATATTATATTGCCACTGATGATGATGATGATGATAATTTAAACAATACACTCAATGATGACCAGTTAGTATTGAAAGAAATTCATTCAAGCATAAATCAAAAAGTGACTGAGAACACTGATCAAACCTTGAATTTCTATGCTACCCAAATCAAAGTGAATGATATCAAACATTCCGATCCAATGATGCATCATCTGCCTTTTAGGCATATAAAACCGGAAGACTTTAAACTTTATCAACACTGTGGACACTTCGGTGATAGACGTTCACGAACGTGTTCACTTCTTTGAGTATAACAGTGAACAGAAATATAAACTATTTAGATCAATTAAATGGGTTTTCTTTTGTTTTAAACGTTACTTGTTGTTTTCATTTTTCTGAATATTCATTTATCAGCTATTGATTAGTATCAATAAGTTATATATGATTAATCATTAGGTAATGATCAGTATTATATTCGTCTAGTTCCCAGTGTAGATATAATTCTGTCGATCAAGTTGTAACGTGGCCACTAGTTTAGGATGATGCGGGTTCAGATCCCTCAGGAAGTGTCGCCCCCGCCCTCAAGATTGTAGATGCATCCTGCTAGTCAGAACAAACTATCACAAAACCTAGGTATAGGGTTTCCTGTTACTACCTTAAGTCATCTAAATATGTAAAAACAGTTGTACTGATTGGGGAAAAGAATGCTTTTATATGAACTAGAGTAGTCACTTAGGCTACGAGTTTTGAATAAAATCCGTGTAACAGTCAAGTGAAATTATGAACGATATATCTTAATCAGTGTTTCAACACAACCGACTGATGACATACTACTTTTATGAGTAGCTTTCGGACAGTTGGCACTCAAGTCCAGGCATCAGTTTTCTTCAAATCAATGTTTTTGTGACTTAATCAAACACCGACTTTCCTTTACATGGTAAAACGTTCTGCGATGGCGAAGATAGGCGTAAAACCTGAATACATATCATAGTTTAATGCAGACCAGTTTATCTTATATGATTTAGATATCAGCCTCCGTTAATTAAGTTTATTTGGGCTAAGGAATTAAATGAATTGCTCCCCGAATAATTCACGTTTCCAGTCAGCTGATACCCTCAACGTATGTTTCTGTCACACCTTTCTAACCTTCCAAATAACCTAATAATTTTGATTCAATCACAGAGAAAATTCCTATAATGTTTTCTAAATACAGTGGTACATTATTTGGGAGCCTAAAATACTGTCACTTTGAAAGTAATCATTTAATCAAGTTTTTGATGCAGTAAGCAGCCTAATATTTTACGGCTTACAAAATCGTGTAAAAATATATATGTATAACCATTGTCTTATTGAAAGGTTTTACTGTGAATAGATAAATTCAGCTTTAATCGTTTATTAGTAAATGACAAGTGTTCACTCTACATCCTATCACCGACGTAATGTTCAGTATCAGTTGGGTGACCAACATTAGAACAGCTTTAGTAGTGCCTACTTCTGAGTTCCAAAACTTCTAGACCGCGAAAAATAATGCAGCCATAAGTGCTTATCAATCAGTATTGTTCCAAAATACGTTCCCTAAGTTACAAATAAGATCTAGTAGACGTAATTAAAAGTAGAATTTTAAAAATTGTTTTGAAATGTGTTAGTGGTATTTTGTTAAAGTAATTGTTATTTGTTATTCATTCAGAAAATTAGTTTTACGTTTTGTTTACTTGTGCTTACTAAAATATTCTAAGCATAAAATGTTTGGCAGACTTAATCAATGACAGTAATATAGATTTAAACATACAGCCTACCACCGAAATAATTCGGAGCGTTCGACTGCACCTATTGGCTAACCTTCTACAACAGTAAACTAGGTTTGATAAACTCTAGTTACCAGTACTTGTACGTATAAATTGTACATCAAGGTGAGAGATAGTTTCGGTTATTGCTAATTCAAAATTTGATCACTTTTTAGATAAATAAACATTGGGATAATTTGCTGGAGTAAACTTCACAAACTATCTGATATAATTATTTGAAGATAGTAATTCACAAAGGTATCATGCTAACTGAGAGTCAATTAATCAGTTATTTTATTCTTATTCAATGTTAAATTACTAACAGATATGATCCAGATTTGTTCAACTGTTCTGCAGGAGTATTATGCTTCAACGAATCGAGTTCACTCAAACCTGAGGTTTCAAAGTACTTGATATATTGTCATTACCTATCCATGCGTTTGAATCAAACACCGTTTGTTATACTGATGCACAGAGATTAGTATCAGCAACTTACAACAGTTTTATGTCTCACTAGTGAAAATCTATTTTAAATTTGTTCTAAGCTAATTATGATCACACGATAATATCTATTCATCCCACCCCTTAACCTTTGTTGACAATTCTAGCCAGCTTTATTCGGAATATCATCAATGTGATATTTACTAATTTAATGTTTGCAAAAGAATGAATAATAATTTTCCAGTGAGAACTTATTTAATAAATATTGACTGACAAACAAAACCACAGCAAAACATTTGGTTTAAACAAATATTTGGCGTAATCCGTAAATAATCTTAGATTCTTCACAAAACTAACAATATTGGTTCTTCTCGCTTAGAACGAATAGTCGGATTGAAAAAATCAAAACGATTGACTGTATCGAATGAAATAGAGTTTCACTGGAAAAATTTTCATGCTATGATAGTTAACCAACTGCATTATAGTAATGAAAACTACGAAGGCGTTAGATGACAAAAGGGAAATGTGATTGACAAAGGAAGAGGATCCTGAAGACTGACATAAACAAACAATAACTATTCAGAAATCTATATCATTGATCTACAGGTTTTGTAGTTAAATTATTAAACAGTGGACAGAGCATTCGACTTTCCCGCACTAATCGTATCCATGTTGCATCCGGATAAACTCAGTACAGAGAAATTCATTGCTTGAGATTGAATTTTTTTTTCGGGTACTACGTAGACGAACTTAGTCCAAACACTCCGAACGGCCTCCTAAAATTCAGTTCAATCAGATATGATTAATGAGAGCTGTGAAAATGTGTGAATGGTTTCCAGTAAACTATTTTCTTCACTATTATATCACATTCATGTTGGTAACTCTGTAGATAAAATGAATTTAGAGAGAATTGAATTTAACGTATTCCGTATTAAAGTTCATTGAGTGTGCTTGGTAGGCAATTTCTAATTAGTCTGTTCTTTTAAAGAACAGTCGAATGAATTAAACTGTTTACTTCCAGCTCTTGAATCACACATGCCACTGGTCGGTTAACTTTCTCTCGATACGATCAAAATGAATCTGTGTGTTATGTCAGTCCTTGTTTATTCGGCTTTTTTGCATGTGTATTTGATTTTCATTGCATTTTCTACATTCCACTGACAACTCATAGTAAGTTGGATTTATATGAAAACAAACTGGAGAAACCTTCTTAAGCCTGTGATACTTAAATAACAGTTTTTTCAATTCAATCGTAGAGAAGACATCACTAATCACCTTAAAGTTCAGAGGTAAGTATTCCAATAAACTGGTTCACTACAACATCCAAGAGTGTTTGCTTGATTTAGCTTACAAATGAGCATTTTTTCAAATAATATAACCCCAGCTATCTATCTCAACTTTAAATGTTCACCTTACCCACCTCATTTGCATGCCTATTCCAACTGTCAATTGCATAGACTCAATAATTGACGGTTATTGAGTTTGAGACACAACAACAACTTTTCATAATTTGAAAATCACACTGAACACTGTCATTTAATTGAACAAACATTTTCTCTTTACGTAATCTCTCATTATTAAGAATCGTTTCAAAAATCCTTGACAGCAAATTTCATTTTCAGTGTGTATTTGTCTACTTTGCCACAACCACCCTTATGCTATAATATCATAGCAGAAAAAAAAAACAAAACAAAACGAATCTGTTTATCAACCCACTAGTTTCTAATGAATAATTCATTTTGAAAAACAAAAACTAGTCCATAATTTTGTATGCAAATAGAATAAGACATGCAATTTACAGCTTAATCTATTAACTTGATGAAAGCGCAACTATAAATATGCTGCTGCTTGATTGGTCTATACATCAAAAAAAATACCTCAATTTATTTCTGTTACCAAGTTTTGATTAACAAGATTATAGAGATTGCTGATTTCATAGTTTCATTGAAAAAGAAAACAATATTATTTAACGACACTTTCATTTGGGGACTTGTGGAGATTGTAGCTAGACCACTAGTGAAAATTTGTAAGCATTAGACCAGAGTTTCGTTCTGTAATCGAACTCCTCAACATCCTGCGCTCGAAACCTAGTACGCAGAAATTGACTACTTAACATGTAGACCACTGAGCAGCCATCCAGCTACGCTAATGTCTAACTTCAATCAACCTATGGCCTTGTGCAACCCTTCATCTATTGCCTGGGGTGAATAACTGTCCAATGCCTGATACTCCACTAAACTCCACTGGTCATGGCGTCTCACTAGAACCCCAGCAGTTACGTCCTGAAGTATTCCTGCACGGAACCGAACATTGTGCGTCCGATTTCTACGTACGGAGTAGTACGCGCTTACTGCCGACGACTTTCACTATATACCAAAAATGGCCATCTAGTGCTTCCATATTTAAATGATAGTCTAGCTAAGATCAAATTGTAACTTAAAACTGTATCAACTTAAAGTTATATGATTTGTTTTTTTCGAATATGCTAAAGTTAGTCCATGTTGATTTTCAAAGAAAAAGGTACTGGAACCCATTAGAATATAGTCCTATTTTTCAATTGAATTCGAATTGAAGCTTTCATTGTTTTTAAGGAGCAATTATTTTTTCAGAAAGATCAAAAAGAAATTTCAAAATATCCAACTGCTATTTCTCAAATCTAGAGTTACACGTATTTTTAACTGTCACCTTACATTTTCCCTGTGTATATGATTCATCTAACTGTTTAAATAAAAAAGCATTATTTAGTGAATGCTTGAAGGTTGTTTTACTGTTTAGCATTAGTTACATTGTAAATCTGTTCTAGGATAAACTGATTGATTACACTTTTTACCAGAGCGGTTGTTTTAGTATTGTTCTCATTGCATAACATGTTTTCTAAGTCTACAAAACACTTCTAATCAATGACTACAGTGAAACAAACCAATTCAGCTGAGATGAATAAGAACAGTTTTTCAAGAACTGAACTTATTTCCTTATTATTAATCAACTGAAGCTAGTCAACTCCATCACTTAGATTTCGATTCGATAATCTGACACGGCCTACAACAGAAGTGTACAGTGTGAATTACTCACTGACAGACACTATATTCTGA